TGTGGGATCCGGCGCAGGTATATCTTAGTGATAATATAGAAAAAATACAGAACAGGGCAGCAAGGTTCGTCCTGGGACGGTATCAATGGCGGGAAAGCTCTACTGCTATGAAACAAGAATTGAATTGGGAGCTGCTTTCATCGCGTAGAAGAAAATTGCGATTAAAACTTTTGTATCTAATATTTAATAATAAAACTGGAATCAATAAGGATATGTATTTACAGACGCCGTATTATTTATCAAATCGAATTAATCATCCTTTTAAACTGAGGGAATACCGTCCCAGGACTGGAACATTTGCAAATTCTTTTTTTGTCAGAACAATACATGAGTGGAATGGGCTCACAAGTGTACAAGTGTCTGCTGTAAATGAAAATTTGTTTCTTTCGAATCTGTAACCCCCCTGCTATAACGCCTTCGGGCGCTGCAGGTATACTTCGAATAAAGAATAAAGAGATGCAAAAGCGATAGTCATCAGCTGATCACCTCTGAGTTGTTGAAACACTGCTCCCAGTCCAACATCGGACGCATCCGTTGTGATGACGATGGGAAGCTTCTCATTGAAAATACTAACAGCTGGGTTTGAGGCCAGTATTGACTTAACTCGAATGAAGCTCTGCTCAGCTTCAGCTGACCAGTTAAAAGGCTGTGCTTGACGAAGTACAGTACGCAGTGGTTCAAGAACATCAGCATAGTGAGGAAAAAACTTGGCATAATAACCAACAAGACCTACAAAAGATTGCAAGGTTTTAGCATCAGTAGGCCGTGGGGCATTGACAATGGCCTGAACTTTAGATCCAACAGGTGTCAAGCCGCGGGAACTGACATTATGTCCTAGAAATTGTAACTCATTCACAGAAAAAATGCACTTGTTATTAAGTTTCATACCACATTCACTGATGCGGTTGAGAACAGTATGCAAGTTAGCATCGTGCTCTTCGCGAGTACGTCTCCACAACAAAATGTCATCCAAGTAAAAAAGGGCGCCGTTACGACCCTTAAGAATAATTGACATAATTTTCTGAAAGACTGCAGGGGCAGATGCAAGCCCGAAACACACGCGGCGAAACCGAAACAAGCCTTCGTGCGATACAAATGTGGTTAAGTCTCTACTGCACTGGGAAAGTTCAACTTGGTGATAAGCAGACGCGAGGTCCAGCTTGGAGAAACATACCGCTCCGGAGAGCTGATGAAGAAGTTCTTCAATGTGAGGAAGTGGAAACTCGTCTACGACGATCGCCTTGTTCGGTTCTCGTAAGTCGACGCATAGTCGAAGGGATCCATTTTTTCTTGACGACGACCAGTGGAGAAACCCAGTCAAAAGCAGAGACAGGCTCGATGATTCCGCTGGCTTGAAGGCGAGACAGTTCCGCAGAGACTTGCTCACGGAGAAGAAGAGGAATGCGGCGCAGCTTGGCACGCACAGGGCACACACCTGGTCGACGCATCACTTTATGCACAAAACCGTGCACACAACCCAGTTCACAGGTGAACAGGTGGTGGAATTCAGAAGGCGCGTTGGCCGGAAGATCATCTTGGACGTCGACTTGAGCACACGTCATAGACGCACCGACGATGTTGATGGACAAAGCCGAGATGGCATCACGTTTCAAAAGCGAGCTGCCATTGGCAGTTACATAAAAAGTAATGGAAGCAGTGCGACTGCGATAGGAGACCTGAGCTGTAAAATGACCTAATATATCAATCGTTTCCTTGGAATATGTTTGTAGAATGACGTGTGAAGGCAAAAGGCGAATGTTGGAAAAATGACTATGAAAGTCAGCGGCACTGATTAAAGAGAATGAGCCACCAGTGTCCACGAGAAATGACAAGGGCACATGGCCCACTGAAGCTACGATGCTGGGCTCGGACGTAGTGTGGAGGCCATCCACATTCAACACAGTGACCGTATTGGTCTGTGCAGTGCTCGAAGGAGCGGACGAAGAAACTGGTTCAGGAAGATTTGCTGGACGGGAATTGCATACGGACTGAAAATGTCCGATTTTTCCACACGCAAGACAAGTGCGGTTTTTCGTGGGACACTGCGCAAAATTGGCTAAATGCCGAGCCGATCAGCAACAAAACTATCTATCTGCCTGCCTGCCTGCCTGTCTGCCAGCCTGTCTGTCTGTCTGTCTGTTTGTCTGTCTGTCTGTCTGTTCCTCTTGCGGGACACTGCGCAAAATTGGCTAAATGCCGAGCCGATCCGCAACGAAAGCAATGCGCGGTTGCGCTTGGAAAAGAAAATTGCAAACGCGAGCTAGGAGCTCGGTGCTGTTCCTGAAAACCAGAATTTGGCGGAATGGGGTCGCCATATTGCCGGCTTCCTCGCCCCCGCGACACAGAGAGGCCGCCATATTGGCTGCCACGGAAGGACTGTGCAGGCGGGCATTCATGTTGGCCGCTGCGCCGAGACGAAGATGAAGGGCCGCCATGTTGACGCGTCCCGTGAAACAAAGAGCCGCCGCCTTGGCCCCCCGCAGCAGAAAGTTGCTGCACTGAATGCGGAGCGAATTGCTCCAACTGGGAGCGAATTAGCTCGTCCTCTCGCGCAATCGAGAGGGCTTCGGATAATGAAATCGAGGAGCCTTTTTGAAGCATGCAGCAGCGGACGTTTTGCGAGGCTACCCCGGTGAAAAGCTGATGGCGGATCATATCACCCTCGAGCGCGCCGAAGCCGCACGACGCGGCGAGCATTCGAAGAGAAGTAATGAACTCGCCGACTGGCTCGCCAGGCAATTGTCGCCTTTCTTGGAATTTTACGCGTGCGAGATAATCGCACGAGACATCTTTAATATGCTCATCGAAAAGAGCAACAGCATTCTTGAAGGCATTGCCCGACGCTCGCGTCAGCGACGCGTTGGTGGCTTCCAAAGTATAGAAGAGCTTTAACCCGGCAGGGCCCCACGCGTTGAGCAGCAGGGCCTTGCGACGCTCGGCCTTGCTGGCGTCCTCCCCGGCCGCGCCTGCGTAGGCCTGGAACACCAATTTCCAGTCCGCCCTTGGAAGTGGCGGGTCTCTGGACGAATGAAGAAATAGGGGAGGTGGAATAGGAGACGCCATTTCAAGCAAGAAGAATAGAGAGGTGCAGACGAGAAGAAAATGACGCCAGTACACTGTTTGAAGAAGACGACAGAGGCGGCGTAGCTGAATCAAGAAATGAAGCGACGCAGCACGCAGCTGCCACCTTGCTGGGAACAAAGAGCGTCTAGGGTTAGCAGGGTAGGTCCATTAGAAGCACGAAAAAGACGAACACGGAAAACGAAATGGGTTCTTACACGTCCTCGTCGCCATAGCTGTGTTGGGGGCTGGGTGGTCCCGACGAAGCAGAAGAAGAACACGGCCGACGGAGACGTACGTGGCCGGCGGGGACGCTGACCAGCCCGAACACGCGGGTTGGCGCAAAGCGCCGAAGAGAAGAACAATAACCGCACTCCACGGTTACCCAACACACACTCGTTTTATTTTACAGTCGCCTTGAAATCCTAGATGCCAGAGCGGCGCCCCCTGGCATCCTCGCATGTTATTCCGAAACCGAAACCGAAAACCCAGAACACAACAGGCTTTTTGCCACTCTTTCTGCTGTGTAGTAGCACTGCAGAGCAGGCTAGCGCTGAACAGGTGCCCCATTAATTACAGCACTTGTTTATGTTTTTATACTACTGCAACTTGCCGATGCAGTTATAGATGGGAACTAACACACTCTTTGTGGACTGGTCAAAGCATTTGCAGCTTGCGCAAAATAGTTTTCTTTCATAAAAAACGATTACCATTACCGCTGCTTTGTTGAAGCTGCTGTGAGCATATGACCGCAACTAATCTTTTTAAATATTTTAATTTTACCGTACTGAAAGTGGCAAAAAAGGTTTCCATTTTAATATCCAATAAATCTGATCAACTTTGCTTATGGCTACTTGGAGCAATGAAGGCAGCTTGCAAAGCAGTGACGAATAAAGCCATAGACTAGAGCTCATTGAGAAGCTGAAATAAGTAGATATAAGTGCTCAAAATACCTTTGGTTTCTCAAGTTAAAGACTGAATTCTTCGTGAGCTGTTTCAGTCAAAAATTTCATTCAATGTTAAAATATTAACTGTTGAGGAGGCCGCCATCAACATAATTGTAGTCATGATAAATGTTGTGAAGTAAAGCATAAGAAGCGTCGCGTGTAATATTATTACATGCATCATACATAACAAACATATACGTGTTCTCCCAGTGCATGCTGCTTAAAACTGACTGCCTTTTTTTTACGCTATTGAACAAGTGCTCTGGGTATGAAAAATGACATGAAAGTGCGAGCGCGTCGGAGAAGTTGTCTGTCTCCTAATATATATATATATATATATATATATATATATATCGGCTGACAAGTGTGTTACTCATATGTACCATACTGATTTGTTTCACTCCATGAGCACTTTACAAAGCTGATTGCTTTCATTCATTTGTCGTGCATTCTCCTCTTGCACCTATACACCATAAGAGGCCGAAGACAAAGCTGGTCTCTGTGTGTGTTGTGTGTGTGTGGGTGTTTTCCAATCAAGTGATCTCTCAGTCTTGTGTATAGTTAAGCTCAATCTTACAAAAATGGATTTTACGAATTTCCCTGTTTAGCAAAGAGATTTCCTTTGCTCAAAAGTCACCCATAGGGTTCAACATTGTCATCAATGACACATTGATACCAGTGTCTCCCCCTCACGCATTTGCCTTCCATATCAGTCGTATGTTAGGTGTGTGCTAGTCTATATAAAATGCAGCGGTTGCTTGCGGATGTCGTTACGTCGCAGTTTGAGATTTCGAAGAACTGAATCTTGATTTAGTAACTGAATAATCTAAATGCCACCATCGGTTAATTAAATCAAGTTTCAACTTGATACATTTTCTGAACATATACAATCCTCATGGTGCACTGTTTAGCATTACATTTTAATTGTGGCAATCTTATTGCTTCTAATCACTTGCACTGTTGTGATCACCTGTCCCATCAATTTTCTCCCAGGTCAAGCCCAACGACCACATGCTCAACAAGTACCATGCCTGGTTGAAAACACAAAGCCTGCAAGTATAACCAGGTCGGTCCTGAACAACCCAGGAGGGTTTGGCATGTTCAAGAGAGACACGATAACAGCGCAATGGGAGTGGAGAATACTTCTACACTGGCGTACTTTGTTCATATATCATTGTCATTCTAACCTTGATCATAGGTTTATTTTATGCTGTGCTTTACTGATATTTTATGCTCTGCTTTACTGAAAGCAGCCAGCAAGTTGCGATGTACTTTCAGAAAGTAACAACACTGAGAAGCATTCTTTGTGCGAGGGACTGAGTTTGTGCCCGTGCTCACAATGCCTGTTGCATTGGTTGGCATTATTACAATGTTTGCCGTGTCACACTACAGAAGCATTCATGCAAAGAGGTCACAAGCTTTCTTATTACTCTTTTTAGAGCATTCCTAGCTTCCATGTTACGTGTTAAAGTAACAGCTTGCTACTCTACACAAGCTTTGAAGTCGCTGTACTTACTCTTTTGTGTGCTCTGCTTTTGGTACAGTGGTAAACAAACGGCTTGCCAAATTATCTAAATTCCACACTGTCATGTAAAGAGGCACTTGTCCACTGCTCAAGGCCTGTTATGCATTGAACTCTTCTTGTATTTGTGAGCAGGTTACAAGTGGGACGCTGTTCTCAGTACTTTTGCCTTTCCTGTCTTACAAATTCTTTGTTGTTATTTGCTCGGCAGGCATCTAAGTATGTCCAGCCATCGACAAACGAGTGTCTGCATTACTGTCACATTTTCTCACGTATAACCCACACTTGCATAAAAAGCGCACCTCTACCTATAAACTGCAGGAAAATAACGCTTTTTTAAATCGCCACTTACATTGTTGTGAAAACTTCTTAGCAATACCGTGAAGCAGTATCACGAAGCCAGTTTTCACGACTCTCAGTTCGATTTCAGTTTCAATTTTTTTGTATTTGTCATGTGGGTTATACGCAAGAAAATATAGTAAGTTGGCACTCAACTTTGAAGCAGGCTTGGTGGAGATCTAACAGTAGCCAATCACGTAGATCGGTTTACTGGCAAACACAGTTTGGTTGTGCATATGTGAACAAGATGGCACCCTTGGCACCCGTGTGTGAGAGCTCAAACATGTTGAGAACTGTGGGCTAGTTACTGTTGAGGTTACATGTGCAGAGATACCCAAGAAAGTAGACTAAAAAATGGCTGCTGCCACCGTGCACCTTGGGTTCGTTTCCTGCTGGCCACAAGTTGCTCGGCATTCGCTTTTCTTTTTTTTACTCATAATTGCCATGCAACTAACGACAACAAATAATATCTCGTATGCTTTCCTGGCACGTCGAGTTTCAGAGACACTATTTCTTCAATTCTTGGAAACAAAAAAAAAGAGAGAGAGAGAGAAAAAAACAGAGAGATTTGTAAGATCTATTTAAAAGCATCACTTGCATAAATAATGATCACGTGTCACACAATGTACACTAGTTTTGGTATTTGTTAACTATGAGGGTGTAGTAAACAAAGACACCAGATGTGGCTGTTAAAAAACTTCTTTCTTTTATTTGTTACGTATGTGTGCATCCCCATTCATTGCATTATTGTATTCACATATTCATTAATTTAAGCTGCTTCAAGAAAGTTTATACTGTGTACCTTCTGTTTGTAGCATTCGTTGATAGCAAGCACTATTCACAGTTGTTGCAATTTGTGCCGCTTACCAAACAATATCTACCAGGCCATTGTGTATAACATACCGTGATCGTCGTGTACAGCTGTTCTGATAGTCTCACAAGAGCATGCGTCTGGCAATGTGATGTGTATATTAAATCACGTGAGTCACTCGCGTGATTTAAAGATGCTTGATTGAGCAGTCTTCTAAAGTCAGCAATTGAATGTTTCACCGTCACCTTGTTACGTGAAACAAAACGGCTCTTACTGTAATTAAACTTCATTCTACCAATTTTTTAGGTAGCACATTGTACTCCTTTAGAATGTTTTATTGCGTGTTTTTTTTTTATTTTTATGGTTATTTAACAGTGTCATATACATAGAGTTTCTCAAAATTAACTAGAGGGGACTCTGGCGCTGCGATCGATCAGCGACCATGGGAATGATGGGCAGTACACACATTTGCCTAGTCTTCGTACTTGCGGGCGGCAAATCATACTTGCGGCTTCGCTTATTGCTGTGTTTCGATTTTGTTTTGAAACAAAGATTCAACTCTTTTGAACTTCGTGACCCAATTTAGAAAGGTAATTCGAAAGAAATAGGGTGGTGAAGCGCAATTGCTGAACATTTGCTGATTTTTGTTTCGTGAGAAAACAGCTTCAAGCCACACAAACACACACGAAGCCAAAAGCAGGCCAGAAGTACGAAGTTTAGAGAAATGTGTGTACTACCCATCATTCTCATGCTCACTGAAACGCCGTGCGTTGCAGCTTCCATAGACACTAGCACCAGAGTTCCCTCTAGTGTATATTAGGAAACTCTATGGTCATATATTGTAAACACTGAGCACTGTTTTCAGCCATATTTTGTTAAAGTTTACTCCTGCACAATAAATGTTTTGTCTCTACTTTTTTGCTCTCGTCTTGACAAGTCTTCATTTATTCTTAAATACTGCAGCCCTATGCAGGGATCTTGTAGGGGTGGAGTATATTTCCATAAACAAATGTACAGTTCACAAGATCGACATAATAGGTCACAGGTCAGTGAACTCACTCACAAGTAGACTTACTCGGGCTCGCTCAGTTCAAGCTACGAGTACCGGGTTAGTAATATTTGGGCGAGACCCACAGATGGAAACTGGATTGAAACCTCTTCTGCATGATGAGAGTGTGTGCTACAGCAATGCAACATAAAAAAATTGCAATAGTGTAGTTACGTTAACTCATGCAATGTAAGTTATCCAAATAAGCAGCATGAATACTACAACTGATCGAACATGCAATGCCTTATGCAGCAGGAGGCACATGATTAGTTGCGACTGCCTGGGATTCTCTGATGTTTAAGGTACAGTTGGTGTTCTTGCATTCCATTGCCACCGAAATGCTGTAATCACAACCTGAAGTCAAACTGGTCGCCTTGTGCCCAGCTAAACAGAATCGAGGCACTGGGTACTGGAAAAGTACAGATACATACCACACTCACGATGCGCTGGTAGCCCGTTCTGCTAGCTTCACTCATACCAAATTCCATATTATGGGACGTGAATGGATGACGAAGGTATGATACTGGTGCAAACATGATAAACATGAGATGCGTGTCATGTAACAACATGAATGCATGCTATGCTCATGATGCTCTTGCAGCTTCTTCGCTAACTTCAGATGTACTAAACTCAGTATTACGCGGCGCGAGAGGACGACATAGATAAAAGACACATCTAAACATGATAATCACGACATGCATGTTATGTAACAACATGACTGCATGCCACACTAATGATGCGCTCGCGGCGGTTTTGCTAGCTTCACATATGCCAAATTTGGTATTAAGTGACGCCAATGGATGACGAAGGCATGTGACAGATGCAAACCTAATAATTATGAGATGCATGTCATGTGACAACATGACTCATGCCACAGTCAAGGCGGCAATACATTTCGACGTGACGCGGTGCGCATGCTTGCTGGCGTTCATTTCGTCGCGTAGCGCCGGCGCTGCCACGCCAGGCACCGGTGTTGCCATATACTCGCACGCACGCGTGCGCCGCGCTGCGTTGCTTTGACGCATGCGCGTTTCAGCGCGTCTGGTGTTCCTTCGTCACGAAAAGAGGGAAACGCAGTGTTGTCTCGGTAACGCATCAGTGCGAAATGCACCATGTCGCATTTCGCGCCGGTTGCTATCATGCCGTGCCGACGGACCCTGGTCGCACCTGGAGTCAGATTATAGAGTGCTCGCGTTTTGCTAACGTTGCCCCGCTGTGCACAGCGTGCGTGCACGTCAACGCTACATTGAGTATGTTGGGACGTCATAATGCGCTCGCGGCCGTTTCGCAAGCTCCACATATACCAAAATGGTTGTTACGTGACGTCAATGGATGACGAAATATGTGACTGGTGCGAACATGATAATCCTGACATGCATGTTATGTAAGAACATGACAACATACCACGCTCATAGCGTGCTCGCGGCCGTTTTGCTCGCTCCACTTATACTAAATTTGGTATTATGTGATGAGAATAGATGACGAAGGTAAATGACACATCCAAACATGATAATCATTACACGGAAGTCATTTGCAGCATCATTTACCTCCACCTCGTAACATTGTGCTGATTTTAAAGTGACATATCAACATTTCTCATTGACGCTTCGTATATCATCGATTCCCACTGTACGTGAGATCTGCGAATTTTTTGTTTATTTTTTTATTTTCAAATACTGCAGCCCTATACGGGGCTATTGCAGGAGTGGGGTACATTTACATGAACAAAGTGCACTGATTACATGGTTGAACAATGATAACAAAGAAAAAAGAAACAATAAATTACTTATAACAGTACATCTACAAAATCCGACGACAATTCGCGAATACTACCAAGTAATTCGTTCCATCTTTCAATAAATTTAGGAAAATAACTGCTCTTAAAAATGTTCATGTGCATAAAGAAAGCCTTTCAGTTGAGGCTGTGGTAACATCTAGTTGAAAGAGTATTAGCATATGAGATGTAATCATCAGAAGATAGTCGACAAGATGAGTGAAGAAATTAATGCAATAACTTTAAGGAATCGGTATCCCGTCTGGTGGATAGGAGAGGGAGTTTCAAAGAATTCATTGCTGAAGAAGGTGAAAAGTTAGAATGATCGTAGCGATGGCAAAAGAAGCGAACCGCCTTACTTTATACAGATTAAACTTTGTTAACATCACATGTTTCATACGAGTTATAGACATACGAAGCGTACTCTAGTATAGCGCGTATGAGTTTATTACCTGCCCTAAGCAGAGTCTTTTACAACTTCAAGTGCACTATTACCTATCTCGAAGCGCTGCTCTTTTCTGAGATTGTTGTACATTACTTTCGTTTCCTGCGGATTAATTTTAAGACACATCTTTCTGCTCTCCTTGTCTAACTCCGTAATCATAAGTTGCAATTCGTCCCTTGAGTTACTCAGCTAGCTAACTGGATTCCCAGAGAAGGTAAGCGAGTTAGGGGGAGACAGAAGGTTTGGTGGGCAGATGAGATTAAGAAGTTTGCGAGTATAAATTGGCAGCAGCAAGCACAGGACCGGGTTAACTGGCGGAACATGGGAGAGGCCTTTGTCCTGCAGTGGACGTAGTCAGGCTGATGATGATGATGATTTTTACTCTTGTGCCCGGGGAATAATTGTGTTCTTCGAAGTGTACACACGCGGCAACGGGAAGTGGCTGTTAGTGCATGATACCACTACTGTTATCTGAAAGTTAATGTGCATCTGCCAATGCCTACACCATGTGCAAAAGCTGGTGAAAGAATCCTGAAGTATGGTACGATTGCCAAGAGATGAAATTACTTCATATAAGATGCAGTTGTCGGCATAATGACGGACTTTTGACTTCATATTGTTCGGAAGGTCATTTATAAATATTAAAAATAATAAAGGTCCTAGAACGGATTCCTGTGGAACACCCAAAGTTGCATCGACAGTTGAGGACGAAATGGAGTTGAAAGACTCATATTGAGATAGAGATTTAAGAAAGCTAGCTATCCCATTGGTTAATTCAGAGTTGTTTAGAGTAGCGTCAATTTTACTTAGCAGCTTATTGTGTATAACGGTGTCAAAAGCCTTAGAGAAGTCTATGAATAACTGCATCAATTTGATTGCCAATGTCAAGATTGCTGGAAATGTCATGTACAAGTTCGACCAGTTGTGTTAGTGTGCTGAAACCACGACGAAAACCATGTTGAATGTTCGAGAGTAAGGTTATTCGACTAAAGGTATTCAGTTTTATGATTGTGAATGATATGCTCAAGCAGTTTACCGGAATTTGAAGTTAGTGATATCAGTCTGTAGTTAGGACAGGAGTTGTTTGTTGCTTGATTCATGCAAGGGGAAGACTTTGGCTAGTTTCCAGGACTTGGGGACAGTGCTTGAAATTTTAGATTTTCGAAAAATGATGGACAAATAACTGTGCACACCAGAGTGAATATCGCACCAGAAAGCTGTTTGGAATGTTGTTGAGACCAGTGCACTTTTTTGTGTCTAACTTGAGTATCATCTTCAAGATGCCGCCCTCATTAATCAATACATCGTCAATAGCGAGCTCAGGATTAGGGCTTCTGAATAACGGCAGAGAACTGTTAACGTGCGTGAACACAGGCTGAAAGTAGACATTGAAGGCGTTGGCTATTTCAAGTGGGTCTGAAATAACCTTACCATCTAGTATAAACGATATGGTATTACTTTTAGTTGGTGCTATAGAAGCGTAAAATTGCGTGGGTAGGATTGAAGTAATCTTGTAAGTACAACTAGATTATAGAAATCTTTAGCCTTTTGCCATTAGGTACGTAGTTGCAGCAAGGCACTAATAAAACGAAAGATACTGTCAGAATCTTGCGTATTTTTTTGGCGGCAAAGACAACAAACCCGATGTGATGTATGCAGAGAGAGTGCGATTCATCGAAGTAACGTTAGTATAGTTTTGAGGGGAACGAAGCTATAATGCATAGTTTAACTATGTGCTCAAATTCTTCAACTAATTTATCAACGTTTTCGCTAACACCAAGGTCTCGAAAAGAATCAAACTCAAATGCAAGAGTGTCCGTTATTGACGCTGTCATCAGCACGAGAAAAATCAAGGAAATGAGCAATATCGGGCTGCGCTTCACTCAGTGAAGAGGGAATTGAAACTAACACAGCTTTGTGGTCGTAAATACCATCGATCACATTGCACTGAAAGCCGGTTTCAACTAGATGAGAACTTAAGAAAACCAGATCAAGGACAGATGTGTTTCGGGCAGGTGTATGTACGATTTGAGTAAGACCAAGAGATAATGAGAAGATAAAAGTTCTCTACATGTGGCCAGATCATGCCAGGTGCAACTCAAAGTTCGCCAATCAATACCCGGAGTATTAAAATCTCCCATGAACACAATATACGAGGTGCCAAGTCTTGTTCGTGCATGAACAAGCTAAGTTTTCTAAAGTTCTAATGGAGAACCAGGAGCTCTATAGCACACACCAACAATCATAGATAGACCATTTAAACATAGCTTACAGCAAGTAACTTCGACATTAGGCATGGTAGGGAGCACAGAAAATTTTATGTTCGAACGAAGAAAAAGAGCGTTTTACATATTATCGAGAACGAGCCCCGTCAAACGATACCTCAGGCATCTTTCGAATCGACTAGTAATAGTGTTTTTCTGGGCAATGTGGCCTTTCCATCCCTGTAATTGTGAAGGCTACTCGTAATCAACACCATTCGCGTAATCAGTGATCATCGACTCTCCAGATGCTGCAGTACAGCTACCTTCCAGATTCATAGCACATTCAGACACTTAGCTGAAGACATAAACTCTGGAAGCTCTATCTGTGGTGCGGATAATTGCACACTAGGTCACATGCTCTGGTGGTGCCCGGCGTTACGTAGCGCGAAGTTCGGCACAGAAGAGGACTGGGAAAGGGCCCTTAAAGGCCAACTTCAGCAATTTTTTGAAGTCAATAGATCTCAATGAAATTCACTGGGCACGTTTATTTGCACGTTCGCACCATTAATGCTAAATTGCAGGCTTGAGAGTTTTACAGATTCTTTTGAAATGAATTTTATAGCTTGCCTCCAAATGCTGGCCTTACTTGCCAAAATTAATGGCGACGTTCTGTGTGTCACGTTGATATTTGCTAAGCAAAAGTGACACAACTGATGTGCACTTAGCATCTACTTGTCTGCTATGCACTGTGTGGGTTTGGCCAGCGCTTTCTTGGTTGAGCGTGCGATTTCCTTTTCTGTGTGTATGGGTAAGCGAAGGGTGGCAAGCGGCCTTGCGTTGTCGGGCACACGATTCGCCATATATTCACCATAACAGCGCAAGTGTTTCAGCCAATTGCCACAGGCACCGACATGGATGGCCTGGGCAAGTAGTGCCATCCGGCGGCGTTATGCACAGCCAGGCAGGTTCTGGCAAAGTATTATATCATACATAGAAGCGCACTCTGTTGGGCTTCGGTATTGCGTTTTTTTGCTAATTAAAAATTATTTTCGAATTTGTTGTGCATTTCAGCTGTCGGGAACGCGACAAGAGTGTCTCAGGAACACAAAAGCACCATTACTCCGACATGGTAAAAAAATCGTCGGAGTTGGCCTTTAAAAGCTCAGAGCTTTCAATCAAGCTCTCGGCAGTCCAAGAGGCCTGTGGACGATGGAGGGCCATGGTCTTCCAGAACCGGTGTGGGCGCGGCCAGCAACTGCAGCGGACCTCCCCTGGGGGGGGTGTCTGATCGAGGTTTCCCAGGACCAAATAAAGTTTATTTCCTCACTGAAAAACCACCCTGCAGTTTGTGTGCCACCTCTGTCATGTCACGAAATGAACCCTGAAGCTCACATACATTAAGCAACACTGACCTCAGTGCCTTCAATCTTTTCTTTGCCTCTTGCTACTAAATCATGCTATACAGACGTAACCTTAATAAGTTCTATCATTACGTCTAGACGTAACGGTAGACTTTCTATATTTTATAACTACCACACACTTATGTGGATTTAGAAGGACAGTAATGTGAAACAAAGAACCATTTTTAATAAAGTGAACTCAGAGAAGTCGAATTTGCTGATTTCCCCATAATATTTATTAATAGATAACGAAGTCAAAGGTTCCAATGTTTGACTTTGCAGCAAAATCGGCACAAATGACGTCACAGATTTCAAAGTGCATTTGCCGTATTTTGATAGCATTGGCTCAACCAGGTTTCCTGAAACTTGGTATATTAATTCTGTATCCTCCTCAGAGGTAAAGTGCACCATATTTACCAATCAGGAACCACGCAGGACCTGGTAGATGCCATCAAGATCTAGGACATTGCGACATTTAGTGCAGAAATTTCACGGTGACGTCGCCACCTCCAATTCTTTTTCTGCGTTTTCTCGTCCACCAAGTGAATTCTCGTGCCATGCATGGCGATTATGGAACTGAATTGTGAAAAAGTAATTTATAATAAAATAAAACTTTTCTCTTTAGCCTCCCCTCAAGCTCCAGAGAACTTGAAGCAATCAAATGCAGTCATTTGAACACCGTTTTATTTAGGCGTCCAGCCTCTTGAACGCACCTAAAACGTATCGCCATCACTTATTAAATACACAACCTCAGTCTCGCCACAGCACAGCAACTGATCTCTCAGCTACTGTTGAAAAATGCCGTTAAGACGTCTCTCGTGGCAGACCCGTCCACGGAAATGTTTCCGCATGACGAAGGGAAGCCGAAGAATAGCTCCGTGGGGTTGCTGCTGCTGCTTGCCTTGGCACTGGCACCCGCAGGAGAAGGCCCGCTGTTGCCCAAGAAGTTGTGCAGCACACAGGCTGCATTCACAATGGCGGCGACTCTCTCGGGTTTCTCTTGGATGACGGTTCGGAGGCACCCAAAACGACTTTCCATCGCCCCGAAGGCGTCGTTCATAACCTCGTGGACTCTAGATAACCTGTAAAGTGACACAAGAGGTGATGCTACTAAGCATCACACTCGGCAGTGAACGTTACTCCCAAGTAGTGCAGTCATAGAAGTCGCCTTCTGCATCCTCGCACTACAGCAAATAGTCTATAGTTAGCAATACAGTCAAAACCCTTTACAAGAGGCACTGATACAAAAGACAAATGGGTATAACAGACACCAGTGTGCTTACTAGACTGATATATGGGTTGATAGTAATTCGCATGATTTTCTTTATATTCTTTACTTTTTAACCTACTTGTGCTGAGATGCAGCAACTGTGTAAAATAGTATTACTTGTTGTTCTAGGCATCTTCTAGTACAGAGTTCTGTTGTCAATACGATGGCTGCTTTTGTGAATATGTATTTTTCTTGTAGTAACTCTGTTTTTCGATTGTATATGCAATGTTCTTTTCAGTTGCGAATGTCTATTTAGCACTACTGCTGGTACGCCCAGCGCGAGAAGGACCTCGTCAGAAGGCAAACCACCTCCTTTTGTCCTGACTGCGAGCAGTGCAATTGTACTGTCCAAAAAAGAAATAAATAAAAATAAATAAATAAGAGGATGCATGTGTCGTACCCCGCTTATAAGAGACATCTCATATAAAAGACAAGAATTGCTGCCCAGAGTATGCCTCTTATAAATGGGCTTGACTGTACTCCGTAATGACAATAAAAACAATAATAAATGAGTCTAAGGGTGTTGGAAATACTATTAAATTTAAATACAACCAAGTCGATAAAATTAGCAACTATTTTATGACATTGAAGCTATAATAAACTTATTCCCTTTTCGAGCAAGTAATTACAAAAGGCCTCTTCCTTGCTTTGGGAATACCAGAAGAATGCTTGATCAATACAACAGCAGAATAAATTAATTTCAATAACGCAAACTAAACAATATTTATGACTCTTGAGATACAGCGGGCACAGGTCGATGCTGCGCCGGCAAAGACCTTTTCACAGTGTCCGAACACATTGGCATGACGAGTGCAGCTAAAGTGGTTGCTTGGGCATGTTGGTACAACACATTGGAAGGAAACAGCGCGAAAAACAAGAAACCAGACAAAGAACCACACATACAGAGACAAAGAAGGACACATGAAGAGCGCTGCATGTGTCATTCTTTGTCTGATTTCTCGTTTTCCGAGCTGTTTACTCCCAATATAGTGAGTGCATCGCTTTGTGCTTTCATGAGGCCAGCTGCATTCACAGACAAACCGTGCTCTCTCGACACATTCCAAACTGCGACTGGGCGCTGCAAAGACATCCCCAAATAATGAACCATCACGGGCTCAAGCAAACAAGGTTTCCAGCCGTGATAAATACATCCATTAGCTAATCATTACTGCAGTAAGAACAGTATGAAAAATGTTCTACCCCTTTCATAGATAAGTAAATTACGTAATGTTACGTGCTGAACCCGCATTAAAATAGTGAGTTACACCACAGTGGGATACTGAATAATTTTTGACCATGTGGGGTTCTTTAATGTGTACTGAAATGAAACTACATGAGTGTTCTTACTTTGGCCCCCATTGAAATATGGCTACTGTGAATGTCAATCGACCCCTCAAACTTGTAGCTGACAGGACTGCACCTTCCACAATGGCTGTCGAAGCAACATCAACCTGCTCGACTCTCTCTTCACATTATACAAGACTTTGTTATACTTGCAATTCTGCACAAGTTCAATGGGTACTTTGTTATGATGGTAATTACCTGTGATTGAACCATCTTTTCTCTGTTGTGAGATTGGATCCTATGAAGGGCTTCATCACGTGTTTTTCAAGGGGCAACGTGTCGTCTGCTATGAACACTGGTGGCAGAAGGATGTCAGGAGAGTTTTCCACCTTGATGGCTTCTGGTAGCTGGGCCTTGTTGCTGCATATGGCTCTTTGTAGGGCTGTCATCTGCCACACGTCATTGCCACCCTTTGCTCCGGCTGCACCCACATCCGTGTAGATGAACTTCCCGTTGGCATCGACGACAGCGAAGAGAATCAGGCTAAACGAGTTCTTGTAGTTCGTGTAGGCTGCCCGGCACTTCGCCGGCGCCTTCATGACCACGTGCCTTCCACCGAGCGCACCAATGCAGTTTGGAATGCTACACTTGTCTTTGAAAACTCTCGCTACTTCCTTCCAGTCATCTTCGCTCTTCGGTGCTCTCATGAAGTCGTCCTTCAGTTCCTTGTAAATTACGTTGCACGTCTTTTGGATGAGGGCGCCCACGTCTGCACTTCCAAGCTTGAACTGATTCCTCAGCGACTCGGGCAACTCTCCTGCAAAGTGCACGCAGAAATGGTGAATGATTAACCCCATATGGCAACACAGGAAAGTGCGTAGCAGCTATCACAGTAAACACGAGCACAGTGTCATTCGTCACAAGTGCCATCACTAGTGAGATCAAAGAAGCATAAGTGTAGGCGTACAGTATGGATGTTGAGACACTCGATCACATATAACTACTCGCACAGTAACTAACATGCAGGAACAATTCCTGAAATTTCAATTATTTTTATTTACCACTTCAGGAAGTGGAATTATGGGAAGAAAAGGTAGTGAGCTTGACTAAGCAAACAAATTTCAAATACCATTTCACAAACCTTGAATATGTATTAAGGGCATTTTCTAGAGTGCAGCAGTAGTAGTCATAGAGCCAAAAGGCATGCTAAGCTCGGTTAGTACGAAAAGCAGTAATCAAGCCCAAAAGTGGCTAAGACATGCAAGTGATGGCAAGGCTAAAAGCTGCTAAATATTGTTCATCTGACATATAGCAAGAAATAATCAAGCCTAAAGGCGGCAAAATTTTATATCAAGCCAAACAGCGGCTAAAATTTGTTTGTCTGGCATACGACAGACCAGGCACAAGGCAACTAAAACGCTCATGCATGTACGACAAGCAGTAATCAGGCCCAGAGGCCATCAAGTGTTTATGGCATACCACAAGCAGTAATAAGGCCCAAATGCGGCTAAATTTAGTTCATGGTGAGCATGAAAAACAGTGACGAGGCCAAAAAAAGCTAAATTTTGTACATCTCGCGTACAGCAAGCAGTGATCAGGCCAATAAGCAGCTAAATTTTGTTCATATGTGGTACAGCAAGTAGCGACCAGGCACAAAGGTAGTTTGATGTTCATGCGACACATGACAAGCAGTGATCAGACCAACAAGCAGCTGAATTTTGTTCAGCAAGTAGCGACCAGGCACAAAGGCAGTTTGGTGTTCATGCGACATATGACAAGCAGTGATCAGGCCAACAAGCAGCTAGATTTCGTTCATAAGCAGTACCGCAAGTAGTGACGAGGCACAAATGCGTCTAAATTTTGTACGTCTGACATATAGCAAGCACTGATTCAGGCACAAAGGCGGGTAAGCTTGTTAACCTGACCTACAGCATGCAGCGATAGAGCCAAAAAGAAAGCGTAGTTTATCTGTCATAAAAGACTGTCGATGGTTCGATTACCAGGTGCGACAAAGAGGAAAAAGGGCACGCAGAAGCACAGTGGCGATCGCGCAGCTAAAGACACGCGTTTTCGGGGGAGCAAAGAAACAATGAGCACGTGGAGATGTTTACCAGACGTCAGATAACGGAGCGTCACTTGCAGCCTCGTCTGCGTCGATACGTGACGGTTGGCGACAGTCTTGTCCCTGATGATGCCCATACGCACACGGGACATGAGGTGCAAGAACTGCTCCCTGCTCACGGAGAGCAGGTCTCTGTAGTCTTGCGGACCAGCGTTTAGCCGAGTGACAAGGAGCAGCTTGCTCGGTGTGCCGGGCTCCTTCTTGGCCGCGCTCTCCTTCTTGTGCCGCTTCGCAGCTTGGTGCAAAATATCGTCATCATCCGCGTTCGCCAAGAGAACCGCCGCCAATGCTAGGAACTGGCGCTTGTGCGAATTCATTGGTGGAAGCAACAGGCAAGTGGCGATGAAAGCCTGCTCGAAGCTGACCGTGCTTCGGGCGATGCAAGTAGAGTTGCACGTGCGTGCGCGAAGGATTACACTTGGCAAACCTGCAATCGGTAAAACCGCCGGAACGCTCGCAGAGATCTACCGGAAAAGCAAAGATCGGAATTCACGGGAGCTGGCTATCACCGCCAGTAGTTCAAATGGGCGAGCGTCTCGGAAACTTTTCGTAGCGAAACAACAGATGACGGCTAGTTGAGTTGATCCGCTGATGGCGCTACTGTTATTTTGTCTCCTTCTGTTATTTCTCTTTACCTTTATTTGTTAGATAACATTTGTTATCTAACCCTGCTATGATTTCCGCGACCGAAATGCAAATGTTTCCTGAATTAGTAAAAAAAAAAAAGAAACCACATCTTCACTTATCATCATCATGTAGAATTACAAATGGTCTAGTTGATTCTCCGGGTCAGGATCGTTCCCTGTGTACGGCCTTGCTACACAATGATGACTTACCTCTTGACTTGTTTCTCCGCAGTGGCGTGAGCTATATTCCCGTCGCTCTGGTACCTTTGGGTAGAAATTTCATTAAGCTGAAAAACCCCAAGGCAGCACAAGAACATCTGCATGCCGTGAACCCAAACTACCAGAGCATAACCGTCGTGCGGCGGTTTGGTCGCGATGGCATTGTATGTCGAACACCGGATCAGCAATGTGTAAAGGATCTTCTTAAGTGTTCTTCCTTTGCCTCGATCCCGGGAAGTGCGTACATACCGCAACATCTCGCATGCACTTAAGGCATTGTGCGTGGGGTTGACGCATAAGTAAGCCCTGTGGAGACGCTCGAGAAGCTGTCGGTGACAGGTGTGGTTGCAGTTTACCGGTGCAATCGACTGGTTAACAACAAACGACATCCCACAGAGTCAGTGATTGTGACTTTTGCAGGTATGTCGTGCCCTTAAGAAATTGAAGCATGGCCATTAGTATTTAGAGTAGATCAGTTAGCGTCCCGCCCATTGCAATGTCAGAACTGCTGAAGGTCTGGACACAGCTCTCGTGGCTGCAAATCGGAGGGTCGATGTGGTAGATGTGGCGAACGCCACTCAGGTCAAGATTGTAAGGCTCAAGATGACTTTTGTTGCTTGTGCGGTGGACATCACGCAGCTGATTTCGTAGAGTGCCCAATGCACCATAAAGAGGTACAAATTCTTGAAATTCTGGACAAAAGGAGATGCTCTAGAAAGGAAGCCATTTCAGCTGTTTATGGAGAGATCCCATAGCTATGCTGACGTTACAGCACGTCATTCATGTCGGGATACTAATGTCGCGCAAGCAGTTGAGGTAGCGGTAGGAAGAGCTATGGCTACAGTTATGGATCAATTGGTAGCTAGCATCTCCGAATGCATAGCACAAGTTTTAAGTAATCAAATTACTGAGCTGTTGATTCCAACTGCTTTCGGTAGTCCCGAGCACAGTAAAATACCGACCGCCAGTGATGCTACTGCAGTATGTAATGATGAGATGAGTAATCATGAACATCCAGCGCACCTCACAGTGCATGACATACGTTGAACAAGAACAAGTGTTAGACTTAAATGTGTCTACTGATGTCGAGCTGGATGCTCGGGCGCAGAAACGCAGCCGGTCCCCGTTGAACCATGAAGTTTCAAGTTCCCTTCCGTCAAATCCCAAAAGACTCTACTAGTAAAATACTTGAAAGTATTTTGGAGAAAGTTATCTCAGCAACAATTCTTACACCAAAATAACGTCCCTGAGTGTTCTGCAGTGGAATTGCCGTTCTCTATTTGCTGCTCTTACTGATTTACATTTCTTGTGTGATAAACTAAATTCCCATTTAATCTTACTTCAAGATTCTTGGATTGCTCCTGATACTACTATTCATTTTAAGAATTACCGTTTGTTCAGACTAGACAGCCCTACGAGAGGTGGCGGAATAGTGACAATGATTTCGAACAAACTTAAAACGCTGGCGTAGGCAGAGACACAATCGCAAGGTTAAACTTCACGTTGCTCAACTCACTTTACAAGCTGAACAATACGCCACAGAGCTCACGAGGAACAATTGGCACAACTTTTGTAAGTCACTTAATGGAACACTAAGCACTGCACGCACGTGGGCCATACTAAGAGCCCTTGTTGACCCGAAAAGTACCAAGTCTTATACGTGCAGTACCATCCAAACACTTCTTCACAAACAGGATGGGGACGACAACAGCATCTTACAGACTCTTCAAGACAAGTACATCGCTGCAGGCCCTCAACCAAAATATAAAAACTACCCATATACAGAGTCAACGCCACTGGATGCTGATATCACTGTGCACAAAGTTCGAGCTGCCCTTCTGAATATCAAGCTCAACACAGCGCCAGGGAAAGACAACATCCAATACTCTCTCATACGAAACCTCTACGACGAAGATCTAGAACAGCTCACAGATTTTTACAACACTCACTGGAAATCCGGAACGTTACCCCAGGAATGAAGACATTCCGAAATAACACTAATTCCTAAGTCCGGCAAACCCCTAGAGCTTGGAAACCTGCAACCAATCTCGTTGACATATTGCCTCGGTAAATTAATGGAGCATGTCGTCCTCCAGAGACTGCAACCATATCTGGAGGCCGAGGGATTTTTTTTCCGGACTCACTGTTTGGGTACCGGGCCCATCTTTCCATGCAAGACGTACTTCTCCCTCTAAAAGAGGAGGTAATGGACAGGCTCAGTTCTACGCAAACTAGAGCTCTGCTTGCCTCGGACATCCGCGGTGCGTTTGACAACGTCTCGCATGACCTAATACTGGGGAATCTCATGTCAATACGCTGCGGACGACGAGTTTACGACTATGTGAAAGCATTCCTAACAAACAGAACGGAACCATAGGATTAGGCTCTCTTCGCAGTGACATCATTAAGCTCATGGGTAAAGGCACGCCACAAGGATCGGTGTTATCCCCGACACTTTTTAACATCGCCATGGCTAAGTTACCGCCTCTACTCGCCACCATTCCGAGTCCGCGACATGCTTAATACGCGGACGACGTCACTATATGGGTGACCAAAGGCTCAGACGGACAAATACAAGATGCCCTCCAAGAAGCAGTACATACAGTTCAAGCATACGCACAAGCAGGTGGTCTAACGTGCTCTGCAAATAAGTCGGAACTTCTACTCATTCGTCGTCCCCAGCAAAAGCCCGACAACAGCCCGCAAACCACAGTCACATTAGAGGACCATGTGATTCCCTGCGTACAGAAACTCCGCGTCCTTGGCCTTCATATACAAGCTGATCTCAAGGCAACGCACACCATGAAAATATTAGAACAGCAAGTTTCTCAAATCACGCATATGATCCGCCGCATGATCAACCGAAGGCATGGACTTCAGGAACAAGACATTCTACGTATAGTTAATGCCTGCATTGTAAGTCGCATCACCTACCACGTGCCTTATCAAACCCTAGCGCTTGCACAAGAGAGAAGACTGGACATTCTCCTCCGTAGAGCCGTCAAGGCGGCGCTTGGACTACCTACGTACGCATCCACCAACCGTCTCCTAGCCATGGGTGTATACAAAAACCTGAGGGAACTAACCGAGGCACAACGTAATAGTCAGCTACGAAGACTCCGCAGCACTCAAGTGGGAAAGCGACTACTCGTCAGGCTAGGGTACCCTCCGAATCGATGTGGATACAGCACACAAGGGAAGCAGCTACCCGCTGACTTCCGAGCAAGAATTACAGTCGCGCCACTTCCATGCAATATGCACCCTGAGCGCAACGCTCAGCGCCGGCGGACAAGAGTGAAAAACCTCACACGCCTCATCAATCAGTCTCCTCCAAACACACTCTTATACTGCGCCGCCGCGAGACACCACTCCCGCAGTTTTACAGTTGGAGCAGTGGGGAACAATGATCACGACGTAGTAGCCTCAATCAGCGTACCTACAAAGAACATATATGAAGGCGAAGAGTGTGTCGTCGCTCTGGCAATTTCCCACGCTGCCATAAACCTTTCTCACGAAGATGTTATTCTAATCTTTACGGACTCAATGTATACCTGCCGTGCCTTAACACGAAGTATTGTCTCACAGCATATACACCAAATTCGAACACCTTGTTCCACACGCCACACAAGTTCCGACTTGTCTGGACCCCTGGGCACGCCTCTCTCCCCAGTCATGACTGCGCTCATGCAACTACCCGAGCACTCACTAACCGGGATCCGGAGGAAGAGCTGTCCAACCCAGATGAGGAGAACACAAACATGGAACTTCTAGGATATCGAGACACTCTCAATTACTATAGACGAGAACGCAATCGGTACCCTCTACCACACCACACGCTCACACGAGAAGATGCAACTGCAGTGTGTCAACTGCAGGCGAACACGTTTCGGAACCTCTATTTCCTCCACATCCTCCATCCCACTTCTTACCCTGACAAATGCCCTGGCTGTGAAGCGGTACCGACGTTATTTCATGTAATGCTGGAATGTCAGCGTCTGCCAGCCAGGCTTTCTGCCAACTCCTCTCCTATTCCTACCCTACAAGACTGGGAGGCCATGCTGCTTGATGAAAGCCCGAGTGGCCAGCGGGCGCGGGACGCAGCAGCGGCTGTTAGAGCTGTGGACTGAGAGCCCCACCCGACATTTTTCTATGCTTGAAATAAAAAAGTTTCTCTCTCTCTCTCTCTCGAACAAACTTAGCCACAAAGCCAAACTGATGTTAAAGTTCCTCTCCCCTGTATACGAAATATTAGTTGTAGGCTTAAGTCTCCAGATCGGTCAGGTTTTGTCAGTAGTAAATGCTTACTTTCCTTCAGGCGTACATGACACGCGGTCATTAGATACTTTAATAACCACGTGTGAAGGAAATATTTTACTAGCAGACAACTACCACCACGTTACATGGGGAGTAAAAACTGATGTGTGGCAGCCGGTTGTGGCATTGGGCCTAAGATAACAATTTTTCATGTCAGGATTCGGGAAGCCCAACACACGTGTGCAGTCAATACTTCTTCTGTGCTAGATTTAACTTTTGCAAGCTCCAGCCTTTATGTTTCATCTTAGTCAGTCGTTGATTGCGCAATAAACAGCGACCACTTATCGATAACTTTTAAAATAGAAATTCAGATAGCCTCTTCAATCTCCATTACTGGTGCCCATATAAACTACTTGAAATTTAAGGATTCCTTCTTTTTTTCACTGTCTTCTTTGTCAGATAATAGCACAATGCCAAAGGCTCGGAGCTTATATTTTTTATTAAAGGAATTCCCGGGAAAAATCTGAATTCGTGGTGTCGTCCGCTAATCATAACTCGAGTTCTCCTTGGTGGAATGACGATTGCTCGAGAGACTACAGTCGCAAAAAGGCAGCATGGAAAAAAGCTTTTGTACAATGAGTGCCCTCAAAATTGGAAAGACTACCGGTTCGTTGCAGGTGTTTTTAAGCGTCAGGTTGCCAATTCCGCCGCGGTGGTCTAGTGGCTAAGGTACTCGGCTGCTGACCCGCAGGCCGCGGGATCGAATCCTGGCTGCGGCGGCTTCATTTTCGATGGGGGCGGTAATGTTGTAGGCCCGTGTGCTCAGATTTGGGTGGAAGTTAAAGAACCCCAGTTGGTCTAAATTTCTAGAGCCCTCCACTACGGCGTCTCTCATTACGATATGGTGGTTTTGGGACGTTAAACTCCACATATCAACGTCACGTTGCCAAGTCAAAAGAAGATTACGAAAGGCGGAAATTCAATTATCTTTCTAAATCCAAGAACAAAAAAGCATTATTCAGATTCCTACGTAAAAATAAAATGATTCCACAATTAATAAATGCAGACTCTATCATTTTGTCGGCCGAAGAAATGAAAGCTTCATTAGAAATGATTGGTAAGGGATTGGAGCAATGTTTTTCCAGCCAACTATCACCACCTTCTTCACATGCGCTTAGGGACCAGGAATTCACAGAAGTTTCCAAGTATGAATTGTCGCAGGTGTTAGCTAACTTGCCACCAGCTGCTCTGGGCCCTGACGGAGTTACGTGGTTCATGTAAAAAATGATGCATAAAGAGTGCCAAGAGTACCTATTGGATATTATCAACTATTTTTTAAGGACGGCGTGGCTCCCATTGAAGTGGAAAATAACAAAGGTAATACCAATACTGAAAGTTCCGGGTAAAGAATATGTTTGGATAACATTAGGCCCATTGTGTTAACCTCAAACTTTGTAAAAGTAATTGAGAGAATCCTAAACATTCGAATACCAAATTTCATCAATGAGAGAGAAATTCTGAATCTATCCCAAATTGGCTTCAGATCCGGATGCTCCATATGGCAGGCCCATATAGACCTTGAAAGTCGCATAAAATTAGCTAAGCTTGAAGGAAAACAGGCTGTGCTCGTCACTCTTGATATAGCAAAAGCGTACGACAGCGCTGAGCATATAGTCTTAATCAACCAGCTGCACAACCTTAACTTCCCAAACTACATACAGTCAGGGATAGCAAAATTTTTACGCACTAGAACGTTTTACTGTTACAAAAGCGGCACCTCATCTTATAAATATCTGCAAACAAGAGGTGTCCTGCAAGGGGCCGTTCTTTCCCCGGTATTGTTCAATATCTTGATGAGCTTTGTGCCACGGCACCAGGACATCCACACTTATGTGTATGCAGACGACATCGCATTTTTTTCAGCAGCAAAGGACATTCATAAGCTACTTCAAACATTACAGACATACCTATCTGCCGTAAAAATGTGGCTTGATAGTTTACATCTGTATTTAAATGTCAAGAAATGTTCTGTTTTAACATTTCCACTCAAAGACCCTTTACACATTTCGCTCTCCTATATCATCTGGATCCTATCCCTCAAGTAGTGTATGTGAAATATTTAGGAGTAATCTATGACCAATCAATGTCTTGGAAGACACACATTGAGTACATTGCAGCAAAGGGAGGCCGTGCAGTGGGAATATTAAGCAAAATCAGTAATAGTCGCTTAGGTATGCGGAGAAATACTCTTATTTCAGTGTATTGTATGTATATTCGCCCGGTGCTTGAGTTCGGGTGCGTGTTATACGCGGGGGCACCTGCCTACAAGATACATCCTCTGGTAGTCATAGAGAGACAAGCCTTGAGACGCTTAGGTCTCCCTAAGTTTGTTTCAATCAAGATCTTGTATCTGAAAGCTAGGCTTCCCTCACTTGCGACCCATTTTAAATTGTTAGCTACACAGGCATTTTTCGGACGGTATGAATCGCCGGTAAGGCGCTTAGAAACAGTTTTTATTGAGCGTCCTGACTTGTTTTTTGGACAACACTGGTCGAGATTTCGTATACCCCAAATTCTGGTTATACAGCGCTTTTTAGATGATTTAGACATAAAATAATGCTGTTTTTTTAATCAGTACCAATAACAATGCTATTAAATTACAGTTTGATGATATATTTCCGAAAAAAATTCAAAAGTGATGCCGCTCAGTTTTTAGAAGCTATATCAAGCGATTACTTGGCACATACATCAATACAAGCAGTCATAGCAACTGATGCATCACAAAGAGAAGAAAAATGTGGAATTGGTATTTTTCTCCTACCCTAGACTGGTCCTTTTCGCTTCCCCTTCCAGATTTTGTGTCCATATTTGAAGCAGAATTTTTTGCAATAATTCTAGCTCTCAGTAAAATAACTGCTTCACTAAGGCCCGCAGTTATTTTAACAGATTCACTATCAGTATGTGCCTCCCTTACTGTAGATGAGAACTCGTATGCTCAGAATGCTTTCAAAGCATTAGTTCCCTCGCATTTAAATCTGATCGAATCGGTCTTTATTCCAGGACATAAAGGCATTTATATGAATGAAATGGCAGATGCACCGACAAAGTCATCTTTAAATTGGCCTGTTATTGAGGTATTACCAGCATCATCTAAGGTATTTTATGCTAGAACGAATTGTTTTGTATCTGATGGCGGAATGCACGAAGTGCATGCAACAGCTCTCGCTTCGTTCTTTTTCTCCTGGGTGGCATAAGCTCTATCTTCAATAATTTTGTTTATTTGGTGTGTACGCACCCATGAGGTGGCACATGACACGTTACATAGTCCTGAAGTACATTTTTTGTTCCAAGGTCCTCGCTTCTGTGGCATATGGAGAATTCGTGACATACACAGAAGTATGCATCAATGTTGCATTTTAGATAATTTAACTATGCAATCATTTATGGGTTGCTATTTAAAGCTGGAAAATGAAAACAATTTTCATTTGCTTGCCAGTTTGATAATTCCGACTCTAAAAGGTGAAACGGTGTTGCAGAGCCCCTTTAAAGTGGGCTGAATTGTTGCCTTTTAAATAATTTTCTTTTGAACTCAAATTGGCTGTGAACACTTACATTCCTGAGCTGAGGCACTTATTGGCTACCTCATGACATCGGTTGACGTTGCCAGTGTGACGTGCATGTGCTGCGGGGTAACTACATGAAAGTGCCATGGAGCCTGCCCATCCTGCCAGGCTCATGAAGGCAGTGGCATACTGTGGCTCATTCCACTTGTAACTGTACTAAATGGCTGTACCATAATCATGCACCTCTTACGAACCTGTTTCGCTGTTGAAGAACTGTCTTTAGCAGTTGTAGGTACATTATGAATATCATAAAATTTTATTACAAAGAAGCAAGAAGGGTGGTATCACATAATGAGCCTTTGTGAGTGTTGTATAGCAAAAGCTGTCATGAGATTACAACTCAGGTCTCGCGCAGCGCAGTAGTTGTCTGCCGCCGGTGTAACCACATCGCGCAAAATTAGCAAAAAAACTTAGTACCAGTGGCACAGTGGGACTCCATAGAGTTTCACACAATAATGCCTAGAGGGGAATCTGGCGCTAGTGTCTACGCAGGATTCTTCAGTGGCACTTGTACCCCTATGGGAATTATGGGAAGTACAGGCTTCGGATCTGCTTTGGATGGATTACATTCTTGGAATTCGCGACGCTTCTTTTCCAAGTGTAAAACAAAGTGATATTCACTTATATTTCATTAAAACTTACTTGATTTATTTGTATGCAAACTTTATTGCAAAAGGTTTTCGTTACGAGGCGACAAAAGTGAAACCGGGCAAATTTAACCACCAGGGTATGCATCGCTTTGCCATTGCGTTCCAGATTTGGCATCAAGATTTATTGAATATTTCTTTACAGCACTTGAAACCAAGCATGCTTGTTTTTCTCTCGAAATTACGCATTATCTATTAATGGAAATAACAGTACAGTATTAAGTGAGAAACAGTGAACGTTTCGTCATCTGTGACGCTAGGTGCGTCTGTCCAAGTGGTCTGCCCCCAACACAGCTCTGGTTCTGTTATGAAGCCAAGTCAGCGGAGCGTGACAGTGTGTCTACTTAGCTTCGTCACCATTTTGCAGTCGATATAAAGGAGTTTAGGCAAGACGCGCTCATTAAAAAACATGAACTTGATGCGATATCCTGCACCGGCATGAAATGCTACATCTATTCACAGCGGTGAGTTCACGACGCCTCGTTTAAACTGTCAAATATGACCCCTAAAGCTCGAAAATGTCAGCTGTACAAGAGACCTAGTGGTCTTCAGCCTCTTCAAACAACAAAGGCACTGCTTCACCGCTTTTCACCGCACTCACTACCTGTGCTGCGCGAAGAACGAAACTGAAACTGTGGAAAAAGGTTTGTAGACAGTTCGCTAGCTAACCCTATCCAATCCGAAGCCTGTACTTCTCATAATTTCCATGGGGTACACGATCGCAGCGACAAATTTCTCTCTAGGTGTTATTGTATTAAACTTTATGGTGGGGCTCGAACCTGGGTCCTCTGTGTGCCAGCCCAGTATACTACCACTGAGCTGCGCCAGTGCTTGGGACTTGTTGGCAAACATGCCCTAGGCAGGCTTGATGTTGAGAAAGGAATCGCGTTATTGTAAGTGTAAAGGGGGTTTATTGAAGGAACTGAGCAAGCGGGTGGTAGCTCGAAAGGAATGCAGGCGGACTCAGATGACGGTGCTTGATCGCCGATCTCGTGCCTTTTTCTTGTGTTGATGATTGTTGAGCCGATGGCATCGTCTTTCTTATTCACTATAATTACCCCCGGTGAAAAAGTTGAAGCCATCCTGGCAATCTAACACGTGGGGACAAGCGGGTCGAAGTAGGGCTTGAGACGGTTTACGTGAACAATATCACGCCCACGCTGATGACGGTCGCTTGGTGGTGTGAGGGGTTCAATGGCGTAGTTCACGGTTAAGGTATGCTTGAGGACGCGGTAGGGACCATGATAATTAGAGAGTAGCTTGGGTGATACACCAGGGGCGCAGGGCGGTACATGCAGCCATACATGTGCTCCAGGAATGAACGTTGGTGCAGAACGATTGTCGTCGTCACGGGTCTTCTTCCGGCACTGTTGGTCGGGTGTAGTAAGCCGCTTGGCTAGCTTGCGGCACTCTTTTGCGTATCGAGCGGCTTCCGAGACAGGCTTTCATTCGGAGGGATCTGGCGAGTATGGCAGTAAAGTGTCGATGGTGTGCGATGGTTGGCGACCGTACAGGAAAAAAAATGGGGAAAACCCGGTAGTGACTTGCGTAGCGGTGTTATACACGTATGTCACAAATAGGAGAAAGAGGTCCCAGTTTGTTTGATCAGAAGCGACATGCGTCGCGAGCATGTCCCCCAGAGTATGATTAAACCGCTCAGTCAAGCCGTTCGTCTGTGGGTGGTAGGCTGTACTCTTCAGGTGTACAATATGGCACTGTTGAAGAAGTGCTTGGATTACATCGGAGAGGAAAACACGCCCTCGGTTACTGAGGAGTTCGCGAGGAGGACTATGACGAAGCACAAAACGATTTAGTATGAAAGTTGCAACGTCTTGTGCTGCAGCTGTAGGGAGAGCAGCAGTTTCAGTGTACCGTGTAAGATGATCCACAGCCACTATAGCCCATCGGTTGCCTGCCGTTGTCATTGGTAGTGGTCCGTAGAGGTCAATTCCTACGCGGCCGAATGGGTGGTCTGGGCATGAAAGTGGCTGCAATGAACCTGTTGCAGGATGGGGCGGGTTTTTCCACCGCTGACATTTGTGGCAGCCACGAATGAATTGACAGACGAGGGTAAACATTCCACGCCAGTAATACCTTTTTCATAGGCGCTCGTAGGTCTTGAAAACACCGGTATGAGCACATTGCGGGTCGGAATGAAACGACGTGCAGATAGTAGAGTGCAGCGTTCGGGGAATGACCAGTAGCCATTTCCTACATCTGCTGAATAGTTGCGCCGATACAAAAGGCCGTCCCAAATACTGAAGTGCGAGCCTGGCGGCGCAGGGTTCGAGTGGTTGAAAGTGTCGGTGCCTCGGATAACGCGTCAAGAAGCGAAGGGATCCACGGGTCATTGCGTTGTGTAGAAGAGATGGGTGTATTTGTCAAGAGCTGACAAGGTGTTGTCCGAGGAAACAGATGCGATGTCCGGGGACAGGGGAGATCGCAACGGTGCATCAGCATCAGCATGCTTGTGGCCGGAACGATATACAACGCGAATGTCATATTCTTGAAACTGAAGAGCCCAACGTGCAAGACGACCCGATGGATCCTTGAGTGAAGACAACCAGCATAATGCGTGGTAGTCTGTTACTACGTCAAAAGTACGGCCATAAAGGTATGGGCGGAACATTACAAGCGCCCAAACCATCGCCAAGCCGGAACAATATACAACGCGGGTGTCATATTTTTGAAGTTGAAGAGCCCAACGGGCAAGACGACTCGATGGATTTTGAGCGATGACAACCAGCATAATGCGTGGTGGTCCGTTACTACATCAAAAGTACAGCCATAGAGGTATGGGCGGAACTTGACAAGTGCCCAAACAATCGCCAAGCATTCCTTCTCGGTGACGCTGTAGTTCGATTCAGCCTTGGTTAGAGTTCTGCTGGCGTAGGCGACGACATACTTGGCGAATCCAGGCTTGCGCTGCGCGAGAACCGCACCGAGGCCGACACCACTGCCGTCGGTGTGAACCTTAGTTGCCGCCGTAGGATCGTAGTGACACAGTATTAGTGGTGAAGTGAGGAGACGACGAAGGGTACAGAAAGCTTGGTCGCACTCAGAAGACCATGACGAAATATCACTGGCGCTGCCTAGAAGTTCGGTCAAAGGCGCAATGATAGAGGTGAAGTTGCGCACGAACCGGCGAAAGTAGGAACATAACCCCATGAAGCTCCGTAACTGCTTCATAGTTGTTGGGTTGGGGAAGTCGGAGACAGCACGTAATTTAACGTGGTCTGAAAGTATACCGTCCTTTGATACGATGTGCCCGAGAATCGTTAGTTGCTGAGCAGCAAAGTGGCACTTCTTGAGGTTGAGTTGGAGCTGAGCATTCTTCAGGCACGTGAGGACGTGTTTTAGGCGCTCGAGATGTGTTGCAAAGTCTGGTGCAAAGATTACAATATCGTCGAGATAGCAGAGACAAATTTGCCACTTCAAACCTTAAAGAACCCAGTCCATCATGCGCTCCAAGGTGGCAGGCGCATTGCAGAGGCCGAAGGGCATGACATTAAACTCGTATAGATCGTCGGGTGTCACGAAGGCTGTTTTTGGTCGATCGGCATCTGCAAGAAGGACCTGCCAGTACCCTGAGTGCAAATCTAATGATGAAATAAACTCGGCACCTTGTAAAGTATCAAGGGTATCGTCAATCCTGGGTAAAGGACAGACGTATTTTCGAGTGATCTTATTTAGGCGCCGGTAATCCACGCAGAAGTGAACAAAGCCATCTTTTTTTTAACGAGCACTACAGATGAGGACCATGGACTTTGTGAAGGTTGAATGACGCCGCGTTGCAGCATATCGTCCACCTGTTTGGTAATAACTTGGCATTCTGTCGCAGAAACACAGTATGGTCGTTGCCATAGTGGCGCATGGGAGCCGGTGTCGATGTAATATAGAGTGGTAGAAGTGCGGCCAAGTGAAGGTTGAACAACATCGAAAGATTGGTGGTACTGGTACAGCAGTTGGAGGAGTTCAGATCGTTCAGATGGTGACAGTCCGTATGCGATCACCGAATTGAACACTTTCGAAGCCTGTAGATCAGAGTGGTTAAGAGCACTGACGGCGGCGAGGTCACTTTGGGATGATTTTTGCGGCAGGGTAAAAATTTGTCCGTTATCAATGGGCTGTACATTCGCCTTTAAACAGTTTGATGGTATGCGAAAAGGGATTGGTAAGGCAGAGAGCACTGGCTCCTTTAGAAATGGAGAGGGCTGAATAAGAGGGCAGAAGTGGTTTTCGATTTAGAAAGAGGCTTCATGGCTCAAAAAATGCTATCTCATTACGCATGCCGTCGGAGACCACAGGGAGCAAAACAGCTGTTGTCGGTGGAATGTCAGTGTCGTCTTTTACAACTAGCTTGTGCGCGACTTGGTTCATGTGATCGTAGGGCTGGTCGAACAACGAAAGCAGTTCAAGTTTGGAACGGGCACAATCTATAACGGCACGATTACGCGATAGGGAATCCCAGCAAAGTATGATGTGAGAGCAGGAAGAAAGGTCGATGAACTCAACAATGTAGTGGTCCTCCGCAATTGTAAGTCGGGCAGTGCAAGCGGCTATAGGTCAAACAGGTTCTCCATTTGCTGCACGTAAGGACATCATATCAAGCGCGTGGTCACCTTTCGGAGCTTGTGGCAGTTTGGCGTCTATAACAGACACAGCGGCACCGGTATCTACAAAAGCGTATGCATGGGCGCCGTCCACAAAAACTTCGACGATATTTGACGGCAAAGGGCGATGACTTGAACGTTAGGACAGCACAGTTCTTGCCCCCTGAACTGCGACGGCTAGTTTCCCTTATTTTGAGGGGCTGGTCGTGGACGCATGGGTGACAAGGAGCGACGATTGGGTGAAGGTGAGTGACGAGACGAAGTTGCCGGATAGTCACGGAAAGGCGTGTTTGACTGATGATCCGATCTTTCATAACCAAAAAAGGGTCGGTCCATGTAGTTGCTCCGTGATCGGACGTCTGTGTAGCCGGGCACGCGACGACGGCAGTATCGGGAGATATGGCCAGGACCGCCGCACGCAAAACAGATCGGCTGGTTATCGCGCGTTTGCCAGGCATTCGCAGCAAGGGGCGCCATCCACGCGGCATATGGCTGAGTCGAGACTGTTGTAGCGAAGAGAGGAGCCCATGCGATGGAAGACTGAGTAGGAGCGGTGACATGCGGCAGTCCATTGAACGGTGAAGGCTGGTGTGGCTGCTGCCTCTTACTGCGTCAGCATAAGTAAGAAACGCGGCGACAACTTGCTGCTGAAAGGGCACTGGCATGGCCTCGGCAATCTGGTCCTGAAGCACATGTTGGAGCATGGGAGTTAACGGGGTCGGTGGTCGCTCTTGCTGCTGCTGCGGGAGCTCTTGGTGCTGACCAAACGGCAGGAGGGAAAACAGACGTGCGACCTCCTCGCGCACAGTCTTTCATTTGTGCTAGAAGGCAGGAGTGGTCAGGCACGACGTCTAGTGCAGCGAGTGGTTGGTTAGGCTGAAATGGACGACGGGTGAGAGCTCATTGCCGTCGCAATTCGTCGTAGCTCCGGCACAGAGTTACCACTTAAGACACCGTGCTAGGAGACTTCGCGAGGAGCATTTGAAGTGCGTCGTCATCAACACCTTTCATGATGTGCTGGATTTTGGCACTTTCGCTCATTGTGGCATCGACGTGCCTGCAGAGATCGAGTACGTCTTCAATATAGGCGGTAAACGTTTCGCCAACGTTTCGTTTCGTTTCTTGTGCCCATGTATGCAAGTGTTGTTCGGCGCGCAACTTCCGCACGGCAGGTCGACCGAAAACCGTGGATATTGCCTGCTTGGAAGTGGCCCAGTTTTCTTACTTGGATTAGTGGTTTGTGTACCACAGCTTCGTCACATTCACCAAGTAAAAGTTGACGGTGCTCAACTTAGCAGCGTCATTACATGTGTTTGGTCCACTGACTTTTTTGTAGGACGACAGCCAGTCGTCGACGTCGTGGTCTTCAGTGCCTGAAAAGATTGGGGGGTCTCGCAGGTGAACTGGGCCGGGGCAAGTAGTGGCCGCGAGAGGGGCTGTCTGTTGGGCTGCGTCAACTTGCATGGTCGACGGCAGGATGCGGGATCGGAGTTCCAGGATGTAGGTGATGTAGTTACCCAGCACGATCCATCAAATGTAAAGGGGGTTTATTGAAGGAACGGAGCAAGTGGGTGGTAGCTCGAAAGGAACGCAGACAGACCCAGATGACAGTGCTCGATCGCCGATCTCGTGCCTTTTTCTTGTGTTGATGATTGTTGAGCCGATGGTATCGTCTTTCTTATTTACTATATGAGTAACAAAGTATTTTAGAACAGCAAACAAACAACCAGGCATCACACAATGCGAATAGTGTAACGAGTGGGTCGTCCAATGCTCCAACCCACTACGAAAGCTTGTTCTTGATCACCTATTAGCTGTGGCGTATACCCACTTCAGGCATAATTCCTCATCGTCGTCAGCCACTGCATGAACAATTGGCATTAGTGGATACCACGCTTCTCAAAAGAAAGATGAAGAATAACATAGCAAATGCTAGCCTACTACCCTAAAATTTTTATTAATAATGCCGTAGTGGGTACCCAGCAAGTGTGCTTGCAAGAGTTACCCAATGAGTGTTTAGAAAAAGCTCTGAAAGGCTGCTCATCTACGCTTTCGCTGTGACTGTGCTGTGCCTTCTGCGCAGGCCTGGCGTTTTTTTTTTTTTTCATTGGAAAGTGGTGTCATGGTTACATTTGTGGTGTGTCCTTTAACTTTAAGGGTGAGAAGTGAGGGAAGGCTCAAAACTCTAATAACGTGTGTGTTGAGCCATGTTCATGAGTTTCTTTGGGGTTGATGGTCACCTGCAAAAGTAAGGTTGCTGCTTGTGAGGGGGGCACTTGCGCTACGTCTGCACGTCAAGTGGGTTCTCTGTTTTGTCGGGACCAGCTTTCGCTTTTTACATCTCGTGTGTTCATATTGCATAACCGAGATGCCGTGTGTCCTGTCACGACATTTTCTATGTCTGCACTGTTTCAGCTGCCATACTGTACGCCTTTTCTGCTCATGTTTTAACTTCAACTATTCGTTTCGATATTTGCAGTTACAAAGCATGCGTGAAATTCCATCGGCAACGTTTCTTGAGTCAACCATATATTGCTTTCTTGTGCTTACAGACACTATCAAATCAATACTACTGTTTTCTCTTTACAGATAATATGGGACCCTCAAGCCGTGCTTCCTCATGGTTAGCAAGCTCTTGGGATAGTATGGCCCTGTCCAGATACTCGGCTGCTTCATTCACGGTTTTATGCTTTGATCATCTCCTCACTGTGTGGGCACATTGCGAAGCAATGGGAGCATACTGGTATCCTTTTTTGGTGGTGGTGGGACTTGGGCATTGCACTGCTCTGCATGTGTACTAGGGTTCTATTCCAGTCGCACTGGGTGCATTAAGTTGGCACTCTTTCAACTCCTAATAAACATGCTTGAATGCGCTCAAGTGTGACGCTTTTGTAGTTTACCTTAAAGTGAGCGGCGTCCTCATTGGCATTGCAAACTTTTTTTGGTGTCCCCAAGTCTTCGTGTAGTGCCGTCGCTATGTGCTGGCTTTATACAGAACAACAACGGAACGCATGCCTCATTGACCGTGATGTCACATTTGGCACGACCAAATGGTTGTGTACAGTTTCCAGGCTGGTGGGCTAGTGGCGGAGCAGTGTATGGGCTAGTGAAGGAGGCACATAGCTGTGCAATCATTTGCTATGCAACGCAAATGGTTGTTGTAGTGCCCTTTTTTGTTTGTTTGTTTCTTTATGTTAACATAATACAGCTAGCTCAAGCTTCTGCACTTGGGTAACCGCAATGTCACTCATTTCACCATTGTAGCTTTAATAACAAGAGAAATGAAAGTCAAATTTCCATTTTTAAATGTGTGCTGAAATCTCGAAGCAGATTTCTAAGTGAATTCATTATATTTTCTCTGCATTGGCTCAACGACATTTTCTGAAGCTTGATCTGTTAAATTCTCTGGCCATCTCAGACTACCACAAACTTCATTTTTAACTACCAGAAACTACATCAGCCCAAGTAGACACCATCAAAATATATGACATCTTGGTCATTGGTGTGGAAATTTGAAGGTGGCATCACCACCTGCATTTTATTTTTTTGTGCCTTTTCTTGCTTCCTTCGTGTGTTCTCACTGCAAGCATGGTGATTGTGGTAGTGTGTAAGCATAATTTAACGCATAATTTACTAATATGAGAAGGTTATGCTTTCTTTTTGGAGTCTGTCTAAAGCCGTGTCCCAAATCTGCGGCCTGCCAACATCTCGCTTGCGGCCCACAGCCTGCACGTGGCCATGGTTATACCATGCTTTTTTTTTTATTTTCATAAAAAGCATGTGCATGAGCTACGCTGACACGACTGGTCTAAATCGTTTTCCCGAGGCACACAATGTCGTCACCATGTGCCGAAGTGTAACCAAGAAACAAAAACAGTATTTCAGAATCGGTGTCCTGATTTTACTCATTTTGAAGATCAGCATCGACATGTTGAATGGAATCCTGGATTCAAATCTTGCTCAGAAATGACCCGTATATAATGTATGAGAAAAGATTTCTTTTCATTGGTAACGATTGCTGACGATATGTATGAACTACCTCACTGCCTCTCTTGCCACCACTTGTATACTTTCCTTTCTGACATGGTTCTCGCGAGACTAAATTCTCTGGCTACGGCCAGCTACCTGATATGAGTTTGAGACCCCTACTCTGAAGTTATTATGGTAAACTGAAAAACTATTAGATTTTTCTTTGCTTACAGTTGACATTTGTGAATGGGCAAATGTGTCTATCATAATTATGTTGGAGGCCTTGTTTTCCTCCAAATAAAATAAAAACACAGTGTCAATGCTGCTTTAGATTTGCTACTCCGATGTTCCTTTGTTACTTTAGATTATATGGCTAATAGTAATTATGTTACACATAATTTACTGTTGAATGTTGCGAATTCGCAACATACCGAAAAACTTTCAGCAAGCAAGTCACGAAATGCGTGCCGCCTTTAATGCCGGCTGTCAAGCACTCGCGGGGAGCGTAGTTTTCAGCTTGAAAAATAAATATAGCGTCGTCTCGTGTGAGACATTTTATGCTAGAACCAATACTTTTGTAGCTGATAATGGAAAGCACGAAGCATGTGCAGCAGGTCTTTCTTCTGGCCTAGGCGACGTAAGTTCTATCTTCAGTCATTCTTTTTATTTGGTGTGTATACACCCAAGAGGTGCCACAGAACATGTTACACAGTCTTGAAGCTTTTCTTGTTAAAGGTCCTCGATTCGGTGGCGTATGGAGAATTCGCAACACACATATATAGCGTCCACATTCATGTACATATATAGCGTACACATTCAAGTTGTATTTTGTTTAATTTACATGTGGAATCATTTAAAGTTTGCTATTTAAAGTTGGCACCTGACAAGATTATTTGTTTTGTTCAGCAGTTTCATAATATGGGCATTAAAGGTTATAAGCCTACACAAAGCCACTTAAGCGTATAACCTCTCAGTCTATGTTGTTTTACATTTTCTTGTTGGAGTTTATTTTGAATGCTTCTAAGCAAATCTGTTTTTGGAAGTGATCCTTACAGCACAATTGTTTGGTAGGTCTTAACTTTTAAAACGTGATGTTTTGCAGGAAGTCAAGGCAGACAGAATTGTACCTCTTGATGGCTACTTTCTCACCTGGCTGCAAGAGTGGGAGGTTGGAGTAGCAAGAAAATGAGGCACAGAAGGCATTGCATGCCACACTCGTTCGCTCGGCAGTGTAAAAGCCCACTGCATAAATGGCTCGTAGTTATATGAACTCTACAGTGACTACTCGCCACTTGCAAGTGGAAACATGATTGTAGCTAGTAAGATGTGAACAGAAAAAAGTTCATTAGTCTTGGGTTTGATGTACCGTTAAGCACAGTACATACGTGGTTTATAAAAAGTTTTGATAAAATTCATTCTTCGGTTAGGTTTTTGTCATCAGCGCTACAACTGCTCAAGTGTGGTAGCTGTTAGGATATGGCAAAAATATGAAACATTAGTAAGGATTGATTAGATGTGATGGTTATGAACCTTGTGTATGTTATGAGAAGCAATGTGGTATTTAGGATGGATAGGAAGAACCAGGGGCTTGGGTAAAAATTTGTATTTCAGGAGGGGGGGGGGGGGGCAGTGCAGGGGATAGCACTTTAATGATGTGAAGTGGGGGCCGGGCTGGCAGATGTGGAGAGTGTCAGTTCATGCTCTGCACCTTGTGCTAAAAAAAAAAAAATTATGGTGGTTTGGGCATCAAGAGAGTGTGCAAGGCTGCCCAGCCCCCCCTCCCTTGGAAATACGGGGGATATTTTTCTGTGCTGTAGCCATAAACTGCACAGCTTGTTCGGCCACACTCAGGTCCTAGTTTTCAAATTTCTCATTCAATTTCACATGTTTCACACTGTTCATTAACTTGGTTATCATGTCATGGCAGCGAAAGAAAGATTACCAGTGCTGGATGATACCTTCTTTTTTGGGCATGGACCCCCCTAGAAAAAGTTCTGAGGACATCCTTGATGTGTTCGGTGTGCCATCCCTGGGCTATGCCACTTACAGAGCACTCTTTGTGTGAGCGGTGCTTTGAAAAAGGACTCCTCTTTTGTACTTCCCCCTTCAACAGGTTGCGCCATCTAGATGCACATGTGCAAACGCCACGCCTGTCTAGCGGTCGTGGCATTCAGCTGTTAACCCAAAAGTTGCGCAATCGAATACCAGCTGCATTTGGATCGATACAAAGATGCTTGAGGCCTGTGTACTTGGAATCGGGTGCAGGTTAAAGAACACCAGGGAGTCGTCATTTCTTGAGCCCTCCATTACACGAAATCCCTCGTAATCACATTGGGGTCTCAGTGTGTTAAACCTGAATACGGTTGTATCTCTTTATAAGATACATGCACAAGGGAGCACTTCTTTTATATGTGGTGCCTCCTATAAGCAGGGTACTGTGCATGCATTTTCTCGTCTACCTGTTGTTCGTGCTCTGGTGTTTATTATACGTATTTATCTGTTTTATCAGTGCCCCCTATAAAGGCATCTAACTGTACTGATTATTAGTAACCATTAAAATAAACACCCTGTAGATTTCGTGTCTAGGCTGGAAAAGGTCTTCATGGGGACACAACATAAATACCATTGCATAAAGTGAATCATGTTTAGAGATCTGCTTTAATGATTGGCAGCCTAATCATTGAAGGTCAGGTGTGTTACGAGCTAGTGCAGCCACAGTGCTAGATAAGCTGGCTGGTGTACTTGTTCACCTATCTGTGCTTGAGGCACATGCTGTTTCACTCATGGGTCTGAGCTTATAGGTGGGATTCACACTCACGGTCGCTCCACTATGATCCGTGTTACTAGATCAACTTTATGTTCCTTCAGCTCAAAGCCATTGGCAGTGTATTAGTCGGTCAATGTAGGTTCTACAGGGTTTGGATAGAAAGGCGGTCGAGTAGGAAACGGTGCATACTCGAAAAATCGGCGTGAACATGCCAGACGCACAAGACTAGAAGGACAGTGCTCGTATAGTGTCCTTCTCGTATTGGGTGTCTATTGTGTTCATTCTGATTTTTTTCAGTATTTTTTGTACCATCTTGCATGCTATTCTATTTGGACCAATAGCCTTCTCAGCTGTTCCAATATACTAAATAAAAAGGCATTTTAGGACAACCACGTGCATGTTAGAAGATATACAGTTTAATAAATGCAACCTCTTCATTTTTTTTATCCTTCTGTGGACGTAAGAATGAGCTGATTATAAAAGCACCTAAAATAATGACTGGTGCAGCGGCAAGCAAGAGCATGTTAACAGCACCAGGCTGGCTGGTAATCGAGATACAAGTGTTCACATACAAAACTAAATTTTCTCATGGCTACTTCAATAAGCACATCATTACAGTTATTAAAGCATTATAAAACTAACAAGTTACGTTTCAGTGAAGCGCCTGTTGGCAGTGATGGATTGAATTCTTGTACGATGTTGCCCTCTCTGTGAGATCGCCAGGGAGATTTTCGTGAAGAATGAGTGCTCGTTTTACTCTTAATGCCTGTACAATGTATAGATCAAGCTTTTGCTGCCTCCTGCATCTAATGTGGCGCCTGTTCATTGTAGCTTTTTGGCTTGTTTGCAGCTGCAAGAGGAGACATTGATTCTGAGCGGACTACGTGGCGTCGTAGTGCCGGAAAGGCAAACACACAAATGCTTTGAAATGTAGTAGCCATTGAGTGACCATCGAAGACTGCGGCCTTAAAAATAGAGTGCTGTTTTATTGCATGGTATCTAAACCCAAATCGCACAAAACTTTCTCCTTTATCTTCACAAAATGTTGCAGCGAAATTTCATTTTACTTGCTTCAACATGTTCACTTCGGCATGCATTTTTGTGGTCTTGTTTGTGGCGCGGAGCGACCCGCCAGTGGGCTATTGGATATATCCCCCGGGTGCAACGTAGCCAAGAATGTTTTGAAAAAAAAGAATTATGGAGTGGAAGTTCTCACTGTCTTGGAAGCAGAAGTGAAGCCAGACTTTGCCTGGAGTCTCAACACGTGGCTTTCTCACGTGATACCGAATGCGAGATAAAGTGCCTATGTTCTGCTAACATGAATCCTAGCCTAAACACTGAATAACAGATCACTGCTCCTGACAAAATTAATAAATATTGATTAGCATAAGCAGCTTGCTCCATACTAATGTTTTCCAAGACTTCAAGGCTTCTTAAGAAAACCAGTAACACTAGGACACATGTTCAACATTATCTATCCAAGAAAATTACCGCTATTAAGCTTGTACAGAGTGTAAGGCATGTGTGCTCTTTGCTAATGTATTATTGTGCCTGGAGTGAGATGGTGGTGGTGTGACTTCATCATCGAAACGTAATTTTCACTTCAGCAGTTTTTTTTTTTAACCTCCGTGGTCGTGACCCACTGGTAAGACATGCACCTATGCCTCTTTTGTTTTTCTCCAGCGATATGGCGCCGCCAGCTGTGCAGCGGGTGTTTCGCGCACTTATTTGAAAGACGCGCAGCTATTTTCTGTCTTCTTGGCATGAATTTATGTTTATGTGCAAAGTGCTTGGCTCAAGAAAACGCACGAAGTCCGTTTCTGCGATGTGTGGGTTTCTTTCCTCCATGCTGCACTTTCTTTGCGCCTGTCGAGGGTGCGAGCCTCCATTCGGTACTTTGAAAAGTTTTGGATGGCACATGTTTCAAGAACTGCAGGAAAAGGATTTACAAGCAACTCAATGGAGGAACGTGCCGCCACTCGGAGAAACGATCGTGCCATCTCACGTCCAATGCCATAGGCAATATATATTAGTTGCAGTTTTGAACTTCAGGCAGCATCAAAAGATGTAGAGCTTTCACACATCAGTCACCGGTGGGTCACGCTGCACACAGTACAAAAATATTAATTATTTAAGTGCGTCATGGGTCACCAGTGGGTCTCAGCCTTTGACATCAGGCAAGTATTTTCCTGTTCATGTGTATTCTCCTGCAGCATAAATCGCATCTCTTTGTTTAAATGTCATAAAGTTATCGCAGCCACAAGCAGATAAATGCACGTAATTTGGCAGCCGCATGCGGCGAGCACAGGCTGTAACCCACCAGTGACCCGCAACGCAGTGAATGTGTTAATGACTGTTAGTGTGTATTCCCAAGCACTATTTCTTGATACAGTATCAATTATCATTACATTAAAGTATTTTTCCTAAATGTTTTACAATTTTTATGGTCCTTTATAATTTGAACGAAAAGTGCAATTTTTTTTACTTATCTGAAAAAAAATTGATTGCATTTTAACTACCTGTACTTTGTTCTGAATGGTCGAGATTCACATGCATATCATGTCATATCATCATCTTCTATAAAGTGGTTTTCTTTTTGTTTCACCTGTTTCTTGCGAATTAAGCTCTGTATAGCTTTTTCTCTTACCTCTGGGGGTTTCTATAATTGCTGATCATTGCACAGAATAATGATTTCTTTGCGTATGTCAGCATTGCAGCATACCCTTTTAAAGCGTTCTTCTTCATTCCCGAAGCGTGACGGTTGTTTCATAGACATTGACATCATAAAGTAGAAATGCTGTGTTAGAGAGACAAAGTCTTAGATCATTCAAGTGCACTCATACCTCATTATAACAAGGTTGCGTTTTACATAAAAGTAATTTTGTTATAGTATTCAAAAACTCGTTATAAATGTATATTTCTAACACTATTATCTATTGCATGACTGTTCTTAATTTACTTTGTTTAACCGATATTTTGTTATATCCAGATTCGTTATATCGAGGTTTGAGTTTAATGTGCAGCTTTGCATGCATGTTAAAAGTTTTTGGCTTGTAAAAGAACACTGCATTATCTCAAATGATATCACCAGATGTGCTGTGTAATTGATCGCGTGATGGCCATTGCGATTTGCTTCATAATACTTCTTAGCATTTCTTGTATGATTATCTTTGTTGACATTGTTTTAGTGCATAACACCTACACTTCAGCTTGAGCAGAGTAGATCATAGTTAAGATTCGCTCCAACGAAATCTTTCCTGATCCCTTGTACTCTTCACTTGTACGAAATCGCTGATGAGAGCTAATGATTGCAATAATGTGGATGTCATGCTCGGCAGTTAATTTTTTACCCTGTGTGCAATCTGCCAATGTGCACATTGATTGGATCCTCTTAATATCCTCGTTACATTGTCTTACCTTTTGCCAATTTTATGAGATGGCGTTTGCATTCGATATCAACAACTACAATTGCACTTCGAGTGGTTGAAAAGTAATTCAAATATGTTTCGACGCATATGTGTTCTTTATGAAGAAGTTATATCAAGAAAGCAATACGAAAATAAAAGAAGTGAGCAATGTATTGCGAACTTTGGTTTAGAAATTAAGTTATTGTTCTTAAGTGAGCAGGTACTGTGCAGTCTTCGTAGCAGAGCAAACCGTTTACATCTCTTTGTCGTGCTCCGAGACCTCAAAGTTTGCTTGGACCACATTTGTACTTAGTATGAATGATCGTCACTATGACAATATATGTAACTTTGACATGAATACAGTATAAGTAAAAATACTTTCTATGAAATAATTTCATAGAAAGCACTTAGAATGGCACATTCAATATCTTTTATTTCTTTTTTGGCAAGAAATTGCTTATGCGTAGTTAAAATTTTGCTACTACAGCACTACATGAAACATTATTTGATGATGCATAAAATGTTATTTTACTGAAGTGTCGCGACTTTTTAATGATTCAGCTATTGAAATTTGTGATATGCTGCACTATCTCTGCTTTGTGCACTATCAGGTTCAATACACTTGACCGCAGCAGCCTCATGTAAGGAATGCTTTGCTTGTTGACAGCACTTTTTTTCCAAGGCGAGTTTACTCTGCCATACAAATATCCTGCATACGGAGACGGCTGTGGGCAAGTGTTAAGCTCTGCAAATGCTGATAAGATATTTCATTTTTGATATTAAAGTCAATTTTTTTCGTGGTGCACCTTACTGACAGCTACCTTCACGTCAAGCTACAGTGCTAGTTCTGGTGACTTCATGCAGCAATCTGGCTAGTTGTAATGACAACTGAAACTTTTCGTATCAGTTCTTCTTTAGTTTCTAAGAACTACTAACTAGCCATTCTCCCCCATTAGACTGACACTTGTACAACACCTGTTTTTTTTTAATCATCATGACATGTTGAGCTAGCATTCCTGTGAGTCATACAAAATGATGTGGGCTTCTTTGCAGCAATTTTCCTAACATCTACAGTGGACCAGCAGTACTTTTGAAGTAAATCAACTTCATGTGCCAAACCTTTTGTCTTTTCATCTGGCCGCAGCATCCGAGGCTAATTCTTGGAGCTTGGACCAGTCCCGTATGTTCCTCAGTGCAATCCCAAGTACAAGCTTCAGTGATCACGTGCCTGGAGCGGTGCAGAGCACGTTACGGGAGTTCGACGACAGTGGACCACCAACTTCAGAGACGAGAGTGGACCACCAACCAATCGAGTCGCAGCCGGAGACCCCGGCAACAGACAAAATGTACAAGTGCCATGTGTGTTCACTCGAATTCCAGCAATGGGTCGAGCTGAGGGCTCATCGGCAGATTCACAATGCCGAGAAGCCCTATAAGTGCAACTCGTGCCCTTACAGGGCGGCCGAGAAGAGTGACCTGATGACCCACGTTTGCACGGGTGAGAAGCCCTTCATGTGCAAACACTGCCTGTACAGGTTCAAGAAGAGGTGCCAACTGGAGTCACACATGCGGACGCACACTGGCAAGAAGCCCTTCAAGTGCGAACACTGCTCGTACAAGTGCGCAAGGAAGAGCATGCTGGATTCGCACATGCTCACACACTGGCAAGAAGCCCTTCATGTGTGAACACTGCCCATACGCATCTGCGTGGAAGATAAACGTGACGTGCCACATGCAGTTGTGCTGCAACAGGGTGGGGCAGATGCAACCACAAGACGAAGTGGGTGAGCAGAAAGCGAATGCACAGTGCTGAAAAAGAAAAAAAAAAAAGCTAGCGAAGTAGGTGTTTGTGAAGTGACACTTTTTGAAACTGAAATGGGAAAATTTTGGATTCTGCTCATACCTGAAGAGTACAGGGCTCATACGACCTTAGGGAGCAGAGATTTGCGTTTAGATTTCCATTCATCGCTCATTGTTAAAATCACTCAAGCAAAGTCACCACCTTGAAAAAAGAATCACGCACTGTTTAAAGCACTCACAGCAATGTAGTAGACAGTCCCTGATACGGCAGCTTCATTACCTCATCCCACCTTGCCACCAAATTTATTGAATGCGAAGCAGGTTAGGGTCGAGCTCAATCCGGTGTACGGCTTGACTACTCTTACTGCGCATACATGTCCGCTCCCACTCTCTCCTTTCCTGTGCTCTTTTTCTGTCGCATTGCAATGCCAATGCAGGGAGCGTCTGCTAACCTACGCTCGCTCTCCCCTTTCTCTCCTCGAGGCATTGCTCCCAGCAGTGCTAACACCACCATTGTGCATGCACGTCCTCTCCTTCTCTCTGTTCTCTCCTACGCTCTCTGTTCTCTCCTACGCTCTCACCTGGCAATGCCGGCGCAGGCAGCGTCTGCTAGCGAGTTTCCTGATTGAAAAAACTGACTGCTCGTTCTACAGAGCCGTTCGTGGGCCACTCCGTATATATAGGCACTGGATCTTGACCACCAATGTACGGCCGGTGAGAGCTTCTTCTAGTGCGTTGTTGAACAATGAAAATTTGCAATGTGCACGTTAACTAAAAGCGGTCTGTGGGTGTCTGTGTCCAATCCGAGTTTTCTGTTGCCCATTAGCAGCAATTGGCATGTTCCAGTAGGAAATACCGGTCCATCACTGCGTGCTTTGCGTCTCTCTAGATTTCTCTCCTGCGCAACGCCGTGATAAGCGCCTGCATCAACGCCGCCTCCTGTGTAAGTGTTACCGCCCACTGCTTCGCATCTGAACTTGGTTCCCTTTAGTGGGAGGTGGTTTAATTTTTTTATTACAGAAGTTGTTCTCACTGATTCAGTTGAAAGGCTTACTGATGAGAACTTTGTTAGTTTTTGCACTCACCATTGCCCTCATGCTGTAACTATCAACCTCAAATGAAGCACAAACAGTGGCAAGCATTATAAGATATAGTGCATGCCATCCCATCGTTGCTAGTGGAAGGCTGTGCAATGTTGTACCCCTGTAGTGCAATGTTATAGATCTGTGCTAATCGAGCTGCATCGACGTCGCCATCGGTGACATATCCAATAGACAAAAAAATAAAACCGATAAAAAAATACCTTGAATCTAATGTGGTTTGAACCCAGGCACATTGCATGGCAGTCGAGTATTCTACCACAGATCTATTTTGCCGCTCTACACCTGCAAAAAGACTCTACGCGGGTATTGTGCCAGCTACGGAATCTCGTTAAGCTTGTGTGGCAGAGCAGTAAATACTCACAATGCTAATTGCACAATTAGTGTGGTTTAATGCTTCCCGCCCACTGCATAGTGCTCAATCATTAGGGGTTCGAGGCTGAGGCTAGCCCAAGAGCCTCTCAGGAAAGAGGCAAAGTCCGACAGAAACCATGTTTATTGATCGGAACCTGGCCCGTAAGTGCCCGCAGCCAGCGGCTGCCACGTGCCACGAACGCACCCGGAATTCTCGTCTTCCTCTTCTACCTCCGATCGGCTCAGTCACGGTTGCTGCTCTCGTAACCTTCATCATTAGCCTCGTGAAGCATCAACAAAGTGCACAGTACCATACATATGTGTGGCATCTACCTTGCTTATCCACAGAAAGATAAACTTGCATTGTGTGTTTTGTCCGTCTTCACAAAAAATGTGATTTATGGTGGATTCGGCACCTTGTGGAAAGCCAAAACTTCAAAACACAGCTGGCCTTGCCCCAACATGAAGCTGCGCTCAGAATTCGCATTATGTCATATTGTAATAATCGGTGAATTTTTCTTTTTCCTTTCCAAGTTCTGATATGGTGATTAGCATGGGCGTGCAAAAGTGCATGTGGTCTTTGAAAGTTTTTTTTTATTATTTTAGTATTTCGAATTATCAGAGCTAGAACGCAAGTGAAATTATTGCACTACGGCACGATGGCGCAGCTTGGCCAAATCAGACGCGCGCTTGTCTGGGGTGCTAACTGGAAGGCATGCTACACGCCATTGCTAATGCTTGTCGCAGTTCACATTTCGTTTGGCGCCAATAGTACATTATGTGCAAATTGTTCAGCATTTAACGGCTGCTGTTGAAACACACTGTAACTGCAGTCACCAATGCTTCATTTGCAGTCATCAATGCCTGACGGTTCTGAATTATATCTGGTAAACGTGCCCTTTTGTGCATACTGGATTCTGCATGTATTGAGTATGGCTTTCCCTCACAGCCCCTGTTTAATTGCGCAGTGCTCTCACCTTGGGGAGGGGCCCAGCCAGAGCTCTGTTGATTCTGACTTAGCCCTTGGTGTGACCGCCATATGTTCTGGTGTTGGAGAATCGAGATTCACTATAATTTAAGGAGCATGTAAATAAATGACTGACTGCTGAAATGTATTCGCACAGTCACCGAGAAGAGGGTTAGCTGAGGGAACATTCATTTGGTCGTGCAGCAGGGACGGAAGCATTGCCCCATGCCTTGTGTACTGAAACATGCACAACAACAACAAAGAAATTCCATTTTCGGGAAAGCTTGTCAGGTTTTTGTCTGGCAAGATTTTTAAACTTCTTATTTTGACCTTTGAAAATTAGTTTTCTTTTTTTTCCTCTCATGTGTTTATCTGGAAGCAGTCTCGAGAAAAGGAACGGCATTTTAATAATTCTTGAAAAAGGCATGTTAGATTTTTCTCTGAACGTGCATGGAATAGAATGAGAAGCTGATAACTGTGATCAAACTCTGCTCTGTGACACTTTCAACACCAATTGACAGATTGTAATAGAACTCATTGGTCCCATTAAGAATTGTGCAGGCACTGGCATTGGTTGTGATTACATGTAGCATGAACAGAGCACAATTCGTTGCATGAACTCTACTTGTGTTGTAAGCTCTCTAATGCCGTTTAAGTTTCCTAATGCTAATGTATTCAGATATAGTGCTCTCTCTTAATATGTAATCTCATTGAAGGCAGTGGCATTAAACTCACTTGGTTAATCAAGCAATTTACACTTCTATGCTGATTTCATGTATGCTTTTCCTTGCTTATTTGCACTTGCTACATCACAGGGACAGGTTTATTGTTCTCATTTGAAGCAGAGTTTTCACCCACAATAGCTTTCGCCCGAGATTATGCTTGTGAACAGCAGTTAAAGACAAGGCTGGAGCAGTTGTACAGAAATGGGAATCATAAGTTTTCACGCAGGATAGCAACATCAAATTGAAAACAGTTTTACAATATGGTACTGTGTGAAAAAATGTTCTTAATGAATAGTACCAGAAATCAGAAATTTGTGTTTTTTCAGTCATGTTGTAGCACTGCATAACGAAATATAAGCAGGGGTACACATTCGATGGCACAATGCTGAAACATCATGTTCTTAATTTACTGCTGTCTTTCACTGGTTACCTTTACTTTTCTGCTAAGGCATTATGCTAATGATGCTTGGAGTAAGGCACAATAAGGGGCTCGATTCTGTTCCTATTTGCCATTGTCACATGTTCAGGAGAATTGTGATGTATGAAATTACAATTGAGGCTAAAATTTGTTTGAGCCAGGAATCTTGGTGACCGGGCTCAATTTCAGGATTGCCTAACGTCATGCTGACATCAGCATGAACAACTACATTCACTTCTTGGCAAATGCAGTGCTAATGCCAAAAAATGGTGCCCAGCATCGCATGGAAATAAGGAACCCCATCTCCTCAGAATATGATAGTTCTTGCGAGTGAGGGCAACACGAATGTGCCATTTATGATATGCTCTGTTGAGCTTGTTAGCTGATTATTCCAAGGCCGTAGCAGTATGTGTTAGTTATTGTATTGAGATGGTAATGCAATAATGTGATATTTCAGAGTACTATTTAATGAAATGCAAATACTAATGAGTTCCTAGGGTTGTCAAATTTCAGCTGCCTGTATAGAAATTAGAAAATGGTTTTGACATTCATGCTTTGATTGCACTATACTGGGCTGTTTTTGTTTTTAATGGTAGCTTTCACTGCCAAACACGGCAAGGTTATTGAGTTGTTCTTGTCCTCCCATCCGGATGTCGTGAGGCTTGTGTTTTTGTTGGTTCAGAAAATGAAATCACATGACTAATGTTTCTTTTGCATGTGTGTCAACTTATTAAATGAGTAGGTGTACACTCAAGCCTCATCGAAACAAAGTTGCATCTTACACAAAAATAAGTTTGTTATGTCCGAAAATTCGTTATAAGGGTATATTCCCAACACTGTATATATTGCAAGACTAATCTTTATTCACATCGTTATAACTGATGTTTCATTAATCTGGGCTCATTATATCGAGGTTTGAGTGTATTTGCTTTTTAATTCTAAGGCTAAGAATAATAAAATGCAAACTTGAGCAATTATACACTTGGGAATCGCTACATCCCAATCAAAGTAGACTTGAGAAAGGAAGAGTGAATCATAGACTTCTTGAGTAAAGAAAATGCTGTGCTTTCCTATATACGAGACACACCGCCTATTTTGGCGACATTCAAGCTAGAAGAAATTTGGTTGAAGAGTACACCTAGCATCAACATGGTCGGAACGGGGACATGCAGCTATGCATCCTTGGGCATTCATCAAGTGTACCTATAAGGCATCGCTACGTTTATAGGCCTTTTTTTACTAGCACTTACCGTAATTCGTTGTCCACTGTTGCTTTCGCCTTGTATAGTTTCGTAAATGGGGTGCTGGCCTTTGTCAAGCCG